CGGAGCCCAGTTCCCAATGCTCCATACTCCGAAGAGGCCAATGCAGAACATGAGGACGCTGGAGGAGTCAGCAATGGAATGGAAAGTTTGAAAGGTATGAATTGTTTTCCAAAATCTACTTTTTTGCTGAGCCTTTGTAATAAGGGCACGGTAATTATAGTGTAGGCCAGGGGTACTCAGACTGAGGCTCACAATGTGGTATCTGCGGCTCTTTGTGGTGCATGATATTAACACACTGTGTGACGTAATTATTAGCCAGTCTAAGCTATTAACCAATCAGGATGCTTTGACTATGTTATTACCCAATTGTAGTTTATAAAATAATAATACTTGATCAGCCATTTTTTGCTTTGACAGTAATATATAAACTAAATATTTCCCCTCTCATAGTGTTTAAAGAGAAATCTAAAGTACTGTAGTAAATGAAACAGTGAACTCACATGACTGTGGCTCTTTTGACTAACGATCGCTAATTTGGTTCCTGATCCACTGATATCTGAGTATCAGGGTATAAGTATATCCAGATTACAGTGCAATTACATTGTCTCAGCTTCTAATAATACCTGTCTTAAAAACACCAAAGGGTGGTAATAAATGTAGACATGTAGTTAACCTTCCACTTCTATGAATTAGGGGTAGTCACTAGGGCTGGTTGAAAATTTCCTGTTAACTGTTCTTCAACAGAAAATTAAGTTTTTAGCTAAATACATTTTGTGGAAAATTTCAACTTTTTATTGAAAAACAAAATGCAAAAAATTTCAATGCAGAAATTTTGCTGTGATGCTTCGTGGGAGTTGTAGTTTGGGTGCTTCATGCCCCCATCCTCCTCTCTGGGCTGAGTTCCCCAGCTGGACTACATCTTCCTTTTCCTTTGATCCCTATAAAATCATTTGAACTAAGGGTCACAGGCTCGGTATAGATCCGTTCTCCACTGGGAAAGTTCCAGCTGAATCACATCCAGATTTCTCAGCTGGTGGAAGTTTTGAAATAATGTCTGCTTGCTCTGTTGCTTGCGAGGGAGTGGGGTACCATGGAGGAAGACCAACGGCGGGATTATATAGTGTTGTTCAGTGAGAACAATCTTTATTTCCTTGAAATTGCTTACTAATTTGTTTGTTTGTTAATTCTTGCAGACGCTGAACTTTCTAGTGACATGCTTGAAAAAAAACCCAGCAAATCCAAGTCCAGTTCTCCTCGTGTGCCCCAGATTGCAAACCGACCAGGCTCCAACTCCAAACCCGTCCTACCTCCAATCCCATCAGGGCGGAAAAAGACAAACCCTTGATGGTCGACATCAGCTGAGGCATTGTCTTGATCATGCCCATTTCCGCTGTCTAACTTGAATACCGGTTTTGATATAATTTCCGCCCCCACACACACAAAGAAAAGTCTCTCAAAGAATATTATCTTTCTGAATCCATCTCTGATTAATTCTAAATCATTCTTCTCTTTAAAAAAGTTATTTATTTATAACTTTATTAAAAAGTACTTTCTGCTTTTCCCAGAGCTAGAAATGATTTCCCCAGATGCTCCCCCACTTGGAAATGTCATAGAATTTCCCCTGAGATCCATGTGAACAGATCTTCCAGAGATATTTTTTCTGTTTCACTGACTTAATTGAGGTGTGGAAGCTTGAAGGCCTCTGATGATGATGTTGCTTCTAGTACAAGACTGCGGAATTAGTTTTTGCTAAGAGAGATTTAATCTGATACTTAGATTTAAGTGAGGAAGGGAAACTACTTAATTCCAAGGCAACCTTTTATAGAAGCTATATCTTTAGAAATGAGAAGTTATTTTTAATATACATGTATATTTAAACAAACAACCCACAAAGGAATCATCAGAAAAAATCCTTAATTAATTTGATTTTGCTAAAATTTTAACTATTTTCTGATTATGCTGAGATCTGTTTTTGCCATATATGATAGAAATGGCATCTCAATATTAAATAAAACTCATACCTTAGCCTTTTTCATTATTCATTTATATTAATATATATTTACTTTGTTATATTTACTGAACAAATAACCTGCTCTGATAAGCTTGCACTGTGGAGCCCTATTGCTGTTTATATAACACCAGTCATCTGCATGGCACTTTGGAAATGCGAGAAGACATGATCTATGATCAGTTATACCAGAGTGGATTAAACTTTGCTTGTGGAACTGCTCTGGATTCACCCCCAATGTAACTGATCAGAATTTGGCCATGGTCTATAAAATCTAAATTAGACAGACCAAAAAAGAACAACAGATCATGGCATGTAAGGGATAAACCCAATATCCTGAACTTAATAAATATTACAAAAATACAGTGACGGCTGTAGAAGAACCCAACTTTAAGAAGCTTACTATCTCACGAGCAGCCTAAAGTATCCCCAGACGGCATCTAGCTCTGTGCCATCTCCTTTAGAAGATACATCTCTCCTAAGGAACCAGTTTTTACAGCAGGTTTTGCATGAACAGAGCCAAAACTCATCAAGCCAGATATGCAAAGGTATCATCATCAAGGCAAGTTACCAAAGGAAGCAGCATCCTTACAGATTGAGCCCACCAGGATCCTATCTTCAGCTAGGTCCTTAAGATGGGCCGGCTGGATGTTCAGCCTATGTCAGTCATTGGTGATCTTATCGCTTTTGGCAACCAAGTGATCGCTGACCATGTTGCAGCATTCCTTGGTAAATGTGCAATTGCTAAGGTGTTTAGACACCTAAAGATGCAGATAGGTGCCTAAAGAGATTTTTCAAAAATGCCTACACAAACTACACAGTTTTAGTAGTTGTTAGGTACGTTACCTGTTTAGTAGCATTTGAAAATCCCATTAGGTGTCAATCTGCATCCGTAGGTGCCTAAATACCTTTGAAAATCTGGCCCCTACTGCTATTCCTGCTCCACTGCTGACTTACACGGTAACCTGGGGCATGTCACTTAACTTCTCACGGTGTTATTTTCACTGTTTTACCAATGAGGATAATTATATCACTCTACCTCTCACTATTGCTGTTAGGCTTAATCAATTAATGTCTATAAAGTGCTCTGAGATCCTTGTTTCAGAGCTGTAGCCGTGTTAGTCTGTATCAGCAAAAAAACAAGGAGTACATGTGGCACCTTAGAGACTAACAAATTTATTTGGGCATAAGCTTTCGTGGGCTAAAACCTATTTCATTGGATGCATGCAGTGGAAAATACAGTAGGAAGATATATATATACACACAGAGAACATGAAAACAATGGGTATTGCCATACGAAATGTAACGAGACCAATTAATTAAGGTGGGCTATTATCAGCAGGAGAAAAAAACCCTTTTGTAGTGATAATCAGGATGGCCCATTTCAAACAGTTGACAAGAAGGTGTGAATAACAGTAGGGGGGAAAAATTAGCTTGAGGAAATAGTTTTTACTTGGTGTAATGACCCATCCACTCCCAGTCCTCCTTCAAGCCTAATTGAATGGTGTCCAGTTTGCAAATTAATTCCAATTCTGCAGTTTCTCGTTGGAGTCTGTTTTTTTGTTGGAGAATTGCAGCTTTTAGGTCTGAAATTGAGTGATCGTTGTGTGATAGTTACTATTATATAATGTTGTAATTAACAAAAGAGAAACATACCCTGAGAACACAGAGTTCTGTAGCATCCTTGTTTAAGTAGCTATATGCAGCATATTCTGGAAACACGGACTGTAGGTGCTGAAAGATCTCTCCTTCTCCCGCACCCCATGTCTGTGTATTTTCCCATCAGATTCCCTATGCATAGACTTCTGTCCCTATCCCAGTCTGCCACGTCACAACCTTTCCCCACATTCGGATCCCTCCTAAACACTCCAATACCCACCAAATTGTTCACTTCCATTTAAAAACAACCACTCCACCACCTCCATGTTATTCCTTCCTCTGTGCTAGCCAGGGTGACCTGATCTTCCCTGTGTCTTAGGGTCTGTCTACGCAGCAACTACACACCCGCAGCTGGCCCAGGCCGGCTGACTTGGGCTTGGGTTGCAGGGTTGTTTCATTGTTGGGTAGACTTCTGGGCTCAGGCTGCAGCCCGAACTCTGGGACCCCTCCCACCTCGTAGGGCCCTCGAGCCCAGGCTCCAGCCTGAGCCCAGAAGTCTATGGCAAAGAAATAGCCCCACAGCCCAAGTGCTGCAAACCTGAGTCAGCTGGCACAGGCCAGCCACGGGTGTCTAGTTGCTGTGTAGGCATATTCTTAGAGGACCCAGTCCTGGAAACACTTATGCACATGTGTAACTTTAAGCACATGAGCACCTACTGACTCAATGGGTCTACTCACTTGTAAAGTTATGCACACCCTTAAGTCTTTGTAGGATCGGTGCTCTTGATTTTAATCTCTCCAGCACAGGGATTGTCGTTATTTTGGTGTGTTATCCAGTTCTGAGCACACTGGCATTACTCTTATATCCCAGTTGGCAGCAGAGAGAGGACCCTGGTCCTGCCATCAGCTCTGCATGGGCAAATCTTTGCTGGGTGAAGGCATAAGTTCGCTCACTTACATTCATATCAGCTGACTGCATTTGTGTGGAAGGAGAATTTCCAGTTTGGCATTAATTCTCTTGGGTCTGCAAACACTTATGAATATGAATAGCACTACTGAGTGCAATGACACCGCTCAAGTGTTTGCAGGCTCAGGGCCTCGGATAGTATGCGAACTCCTGAGTTTAAAAATAATAAAGAGAGATGTTGGTTTCTGCATCTTCATTCAGATTAGCTCAGAAATGTGATGGTGTTAGTTGAACAATATATTCAGTTGCACTCTCACCTCACCAACCTCCTTCATGCACGCACACACACACACACACACTCTCCCCTGGCCTTCTCCCACACAGGCTGAGAAGCTGTGGATTCCCAGACCTTTTATGGTTACTGCAGTGCACCTGCAAACAGACTTTCCTTGTTTCTCCCCTCACAATCTTATCAGCCCTTTTGCCCACGGTTATCTTACTTTTTTTTGCTGTCTGTGTTTGTGTGCATAAGAAAACAAAATGGACTGAGAAAAAAAGGCTCTTTGTTCATTCCACACATGGTGGTTGGTGGGGGTAGAGTTTACAGTGGAGAAAAGGCAATAGAAAGGATAGTTTGGTACGGAACAACACAGGTAAGTGTTACATTACTGTGATTCATTGCTGAAACTGGTTTTCAAATACTCACAGAGATGCAGAGCCCCTCAATGGGCTTTTCTTATTGCCCTGGTATCTGGCTGTTCAAAGTTGGCTGCTAATCGATCAGCCTCAAACCCCCCCCTCCCCCCCAGGAGAAAGTTTTCTCCCTTTGTTTCACAGATATTATGGAGCACACATCAGGCAGCAATAGCAATGGGGATATTGCTTTCCCGGAGGTCTAACCTAGTAAGCAAACAGCGCCAGCGACCTTTTAAACATCCTTACTACTATGCAGGCAGCTGGTGTATGGTTTCATGAGCCATGGGAGCAAGGGGTAGGCTGGGTCTCCCAAGATCACAATTGGCATGGCAACATAATCAATGGTTATTTTGCAGTTGGGACAGAAAGTCCCTGCTGGCAACTTTCTGAACAGACCTGTGTTCTTAAAGATGCGCATGTCATGCACCTTTCCCGACCATCCCACATTGACTTTGGTGAAATGTCCTCTGTGATCCACCAGCACTTACCACACTACTGAGAAGGATCCTTTTCAGTTCATATATATGCTTTGGCAAGGTGGTCTGGTGCCACAATTGGGATGTGCGTGCCATCTATTGCCCCACTACAGTTAGGGAACCCCAACATGGCAACACCATCCACTATGTCTTGCATGTTGCCCAGAGTCACTACCCTTCTTCGCAGAAGTTGATTAATGGCCCTGCAGACTTGAATCACAACAGCTTCTACGGATTTACCAACTCTGAACTGATTCCCCACTGACCAGTAACAGTCTGGCATTGCAAGCTGCCATAGAGCGATCACCACTTGTTTCTCCACTGTCAAAGCAGCCCTCATTTTAGTATTGCTGCGCTTCAGGACTGGGGAAAGTTCTGCACAAAGTTCCCGGAATGTGGCCTTCCGCATTGGAAAGTTCTGGAGCCACTGCTGATCATCCCATAGCTGCATAACGATCCGGTCCCACCAGTCAGTGCTGCTTTCCCAGGGCCAGAAACGGTGCTCAACTGATGTGCGACTGCCACTGGCAACTGATCATTGTTTTGCTCTATGGCTTGCAGCAGGGCTGCTTGTGTGACATCGCAATGTTCCGCATGGCGGCTCCTGTCTTGGCTGTAGAAATACTGCAGGATAAGGTGCAAAGTGTTTGTAATGCTCACAAGAAGAGTGCACAGCTGAGTGGGGTCCGTGCTTATCTGGCTATGGCATCTGTACCGCTAAAAGACGTGAAAAAGCCTTGGTTTGTTTGCTGTTGATCTCAGGGAGGGAGGAAAGTGCATTATGGGAGGCTAACATCATGTTCCCATTACCACCCGTAAAAATGTTTGGTCCCATGAAGCATTGCAGCCCTACCCAAAATTTTCTTTTGGCTACTTGCACTGTGGGCTAGCTACCCACAGTGCAGTGCACCGTGCATCAATGCAAGCATTACTAGTTTCAGAGTAACAGCCATGTTAGTCTGTATTCGCAAAAAGAAAAGGAGGACTTGTGGCACCTTAGAGACTAACCAATTTATTTGAGCATGAGCTTTCGTGAGCTACAGCTCACTTCATCGGATGCATACTGTGGAAAGTATAGAAGATCTTTTTATACACACAAAGCATGAAAAAATACCTCCTCCCACCCCACTCTCCTGCTGGTAATAGCTTATCTAAAGTGATCACTCTCCTTACAATGTGTATGATAATCAAGTTGGGCAAAACTTGATTATCATACACATGGTAAGGAGAGGTTTCAGAGGAACAGCCGTGTTAGTCTGTATTCGCAAAAAGAAAAGGAGTACTTGTGGCACCTTAGAGACTAACCAATTTATTTGAGCATGAGCTTTCGTGAGCCACAGCTCACTTCATCAGATGTGTACCGTGGAAACTGCAGCAGACTTTATATACACACAGAGAATATGAAACAAGGAGAGTAATCCAGACTCCAACAAGAAACTGTTGAATTGGAATTCATTTGCAAATTGGATACAATTAACTTAGGCTTGAATAGAGACTGGGAATGGCTAAGTCATTATGCAAGGTAACCTATTTCCCCTTGTTTTTTCCTACCCCCCCCCCCCCCAGACGTTCTTGTTAAACCCTGGATTTGTGCTGGAAATGGCCCACCTTGATTATCATACACATTGTAAGGAGAGTGGTCACTTTAGATAAGCTATTACCAGCAGGAGAGTGGGTTTGGGGGGGGGGGGGGGTGAGAAAACCTGGATTTGTGCTGGAAATGGCCCAACTTGATTATCATACACATTGTAAGGAGAGCGATCACTTTAGATAAGCTATTACCAGCAGGAGAGTGGGGTGGGAGGAGGTATTTTTTCATGCTTTGTGTGTATATAAAAAGATCTTCTACACTTTCCACAGTATGCATCCGATGAAGTGAGCTGTAGCTCACAAAAGCTTATGCTCAAATAAATTGGTTAGTCTCAAAGGTAGCATTACTAGTGAGGACGCACACCGCCGACACAGTGAGCATGGTGTGGACACACAGGATCGACTTGCTTAAGTCGGAGACTTGATGTCAACGTACATAAAGTCGACTTAACTTTGTAGTGTAGACATGGCTGAAGTCTCTGAGTTTTACAAAGGGCAGTATTACAAGCTGTTTAATTTCCCTTTTTCCCTGCAAGTAAACATTCAGCAGTCACAAGAAAGCCAGTGACCAAGAAGAAATGCTCAAGACTATGGCTTCTTGCTTTGTGAACTCAAGATTCAGCACTTCACAGATAATTTATGTGGTTTTTCACCCAACCGGTGAGATTAAGTATTAGCTTCATTTTACAGATGGGTAAAATGAGAGCTGGAGTGATTTGCCCATCTCACAGAGTGTAGAGTTGAGAATAGAACCCATAAGTCCTGGCTCCCAGTCCCCTATTCTAACCACCAGCCAGTTCTAATGCATGGGGAGAGATGGGGGGAAACTGCCTGTATTATGAGTTATGCAAAGAGAAAACTGTCATGAGGAGCATACAGCGGGTAGGCTCTCAGGTTGCAAATACTTCCAAAAATACAAAGGAAGGAAATTCGTCATGATTTTGTATGATGGTGGGCAAGGAAAAATGGCCTGAAGCTAAGGTGTGGAAAGTTTGTTAGCCATTAAGACAAGGTTCTTGTCTCCATTTGAATAGACTAGCCCCAGTTAGGTGGGTATTGATTAGCAAGCATGATGTAAGACTTAATCCCACAAAGGCCGAGACGTCAGAAAGGATCTATCACAATGGCCTTTACTGGCCCTCTGAGCTTAGAGCTGAGCTGAAACTCAGCGTAATTGTGGAGGGTAGTCTCTGAGACATTGTCTAATGTAAGGAATGGAAAGCATCCATAGGTGAAGAGCCTGACCCAGAGCCCATGGAAGTCAGTGGAAATCTTTCCATTGATTGCAATGAGTTTTGGATTAGGTCCATAAATAATAAAATAAGATCTAGACGTTATTCCCTCTTGCAAAGCTACTGGAAATTTTTGAGGGATAGAGGAAAAGCAATTTACAAATGAGCATAAAGGTGGGTAGGATCCATAGTCATCAGTGGTAGTGGAACAGTTTTTATAGTGGGAGGTGCTGAAGGCATAAAGCCTGTATTTGGGTTGTTATTACTACTTCAAACCAGGGGGTGTGGCAGCACCCCCCAGTACCCCTAGTTCCAGCACCGATAGCCATCTAGTCCAACCTGCTGCCCACTTTGTGGTGGCCAAAGGGTGGGATTTTAACTGGCCTGATTCTCCAGCACTTTACACCTTGCAGAGTCTTTTACATCTGTGCAAAGTGGGTGTAAACTGCTTCTACATAGGGGTAAATGACTGCAAGATGCAACACAGCGGAGAAGCAGGCCTTACTCATTCCAAAACATGCTAGACTCCTAGGGGAACAACAGTGTGAACTATGAAAACCCACCCAGTGGGCTCTTGGCTGGGTATAAAAGCCCAGGTATTTTCATCTCCCTTAAAAAGGCCCAGCAAATCTCAGCTAGTTACCAAAAATGTATTTTTAACACAGCTGCAGTCGTATCAGATACTAACTGCAGGGCTGTTCATTTCTACAATACGGAAAAAGAAAGCACAAAACTGGTTCCAAAAATACCTGTTTAAAGACTATAGTTGCATTCCAGGAGTGGCTAGCTAACTTCTGTTCCCTCAGGAGCTTGTCTAATTGAATGTGCTGCATAATATGCTGTTAATTTGGCAGCTGTCAAAGTGAATTATAATTTTTTTAACAGTAAATGTGGGGGGCTTTTTTGCCGCAAAGAGTATATTTCCTTGGTTACCTTTGATTCGCTTTATTCGCGGGACAGATGAGGAATGGCTGCAGACATAGCGTGGGGATGATTCTTCCCCCCTTGCTCTTCCTGTGGAGTGTTACCTTAGACCCCCGACCCTACAGCCTGACCCACACATGCTGACTTTGGGGGTTTGTGCTGCTCCGGCGTCCGCCCACACAGCTCAGGTTGCAGGATCAGGACCTTAATCTGCAAGTGGTCCTACTGAGCTCAAGGAGTAGGATAGTACTTAGTGGGAGTAAAGGTGCCGGAATTGGGCTTCTTAAGAACACTTGTATTTTAATGCCTATACTCTCATTCCCAGGTGTGATCATTTAGTCCTGCACATGGCTAATTTTACCCACACAAGTAGTCACCGTGACTCCCACGGGGTGCAGGTGGATCCTGACAGAGGATCAGGGCCCTAATCAATAATACTTAGTGCTTGACAAACAATAGCCAATTAAGGCATGAGCAGGGTCACCAGCAAATCTTACTGGTTGGCCAGATCCCACTAAATATTTCAAGCTTTTGAGCTATTTTTCCTCCTCATTAAAAAAAAAAAAAAAAAAAAAAAATCCCTAATGATGAGTTTCATTTTCATGCCCCAGGGTACATACATTTTTATTGTGTGTGTATTAAGTGTTCATACCTGTGAGCAAGTATGAGCATTAAAATGTGTCAGTGGGACCCCATCGGGCTTGGAGACCGGTGCTAGCAGATTCCATCGCTGGACGGGTGCCTGTGAGAGGAAACACAGTTTAGTGGCTAAGGTCCAGGTGTTGGAATCAGAAGATCTAGGCCCCGCGTCCTCATTGCATTGGGGTACCTTTTAGTTGCTTCCACAATACAAAACTGCCCCGAAGCTGGTAGGTCTGGCCATTAGACCTTGGGGAATCTTGGGTGGTACAGAGCTGGCATAGCAACCCCTTCGCTAGCCCTTCTCCTGCAGCCAATGCCAGCTGCTTGGCTTGGCCCTTTGGGATCAGAGCAGCCACCACAACTGAGAGCAGTCCTCAGGCCGATGTCAGGATAGCGTAGGATCAAGGGTTAAAGACGGATTTCCACCAAACCCTTCCTGAGGGCTCCACACCACAGCTCAGGCTCTGGGCCTCGGTTTGTATTCTCTTCTCCGCCAACCCCTTGCTGTGTGGGGCTGGGTTTCCTATGCTTCAGCTTTCCCATCTGTAAAGTGGGGATAGCTCCTGGCCTCTGAGTGCCAATCTCTTAGGTGCCTGCAGCGTGTCCGGCTAGAGAGGAGAAAAGCTTTAGTGTCTTCTTAATTCTAACAGCGGCCCTAGTTAAAGCGTTAATGCCTGCGAGGCTTCGTGCCTTGTAAAATTGGACTCTTGACACGAGCAAGGATTTTTCCTTTTGACCTGATGAGAGAGGAGTTTATTACAGCCAGGTAAACTTGACATGCTCTCTTCTGCCCTGCATGCAGGATGCCAGGTGCATGGGAAGACACACAGGCCCTAGCAGGGACGAGAGCTGCGGCAATGCTTAAGGCAAGCAAATGTGAAGCTCAGCCGGCATAACATGTGGCATGACTGGGATACTAATCAATACCCATCAGCTAGGGGAGGCTCTAATTACAGGAGATCAGGAGCAGCTAAAAAATTAGGGGGGGACCAGTCTAGTCTGTATTTCCAAACAGTCTCTGGGCATCAGAGTTCCCATGCTACAAGCAAAGGATTTCTGCCACTGCATAGATGAGCTTAATCCAATGTTCACTCACAAAAAGACATGAGGGCCATTCCTCGGCTGGTGTGAATTTAGAGGGAGCCCTCCAATTCCACAGCAGTCAATGGAGCTCCAGTTACATTAGGTGAGGGTCTGGCCATTGGATCTTAATTGCCACTGGGCTGATGGGGGGCTGCTCACGTATTACTGTGGCTCTCTGGCAATGTACACTGGTAAATTCTGGCCCCTTCTCAGGCTCAGGTGGGCCACCCCGATCTAGTCTGACCTCCTGCGTAACACAGGCCAGAGAACTTTCCCAAAATAACTCCTAGAGCAGAGCTTTTAGGAAAACACCCAATCTTGATTTAAAAACTGTCAGTGATGGAGAATCCACCGTGACCCTTGGTAAATTGTTCCAATGATGAATTACTCTGCAGTTAAAGATGTGTCTTATTTCCAGTCTGTATTTGCCTAGATTCAGCTGCCAGCCGTTGGATTACGGAGTAGGTTGCAGATAGCTCTCTGTAGAGGAGTTCGAGATGGGTGTCAGTCATGGTTCTAGTCAATCTCTTGAACCTCTGGAATCTGTAACAAACTATGAACCATTTATCGAAACATCTATTAATCAGTTATTAACCGGTCGTGAGCTACTATCAATGTAGCCTTCCTATCACATGGGCCTCTCTTTGGGGGCAATGGAGTTGCAGGAGTTTATTATACCACAGATAAGTTTGGCCCAGTGTGTCCAATCATCTCACTCCTTTTCCATAGAGGCCACCCCCTCAATTGTTCAGGTTTTACGCCCCACCCAAGCTCTGTGACTCCTTTAAGCCACTTCTCCAAAATGGCATCAGGACAGAGTCTGAGAAAGGAGCAGCAGAGACATGATTTGTCAGTCAGCTTACTTGACTATTTTTCTCATGCTGTGGTTCATTAAATCCTGTACTTGCCTTGTGCCAGCAGTCGTGACATTAGGAGCAGCCTCAGGATAAGTGGGCTCAACTTCCTATACATGTTCTATCATCTCCAAAAGCCATCCCTCACCTCAGATACCTGGCCATGGCCATTGTTTCCTAAATAATGAATCAGGTTTGCATTGGTTAATGGAATGAGAAACTAAACCCCACCAGGGAATTTCTGCCTCCTTCTACTGCATCTACTGTCTCTCATGCTTTGAAAAGCGATAGGCCTCTTAGCTCAGACAAAACAGTAACAACTAAATTACACAGTGGCATTTTACAGAGCCATTTACCAGGCCACCTGACTGTGGGAATCGCAGTTTAAGCTGCTCCGTACCATGTGATTACCAGATTAAAGACCAGGGAGAATGAAATGCTAAGCTTTGGCCTGCCAACTGCGCCCGTACCTGACAATGGCTCTGTTGATACGCGTGTGGGGCTAACAGGCTATAATTGGCCATTGATGCAGCTTGAGTGACAGGTCTTAAAAATTAGCTTGGGGAAAAAGGCAACAAACTGTAAATGTTGGAGTCTCCCACCTGCAAACACAGAAGCCAGCTCTCAGATAGCAATTTTCAAGCCCCACCATTTCTTCCTCTGAGAGAGTCTTAAACCATATTTGATTTTTTCCTCCCCTTGCAAAAGAACAAGACCCCCCCCCCCCCGACTCGACAATTGCATTTGCACGGGCAGACCCATGCGATGCTCCAGTGACTCAGTGGGGCGCCATGTGGCTGCTTGGCTCCTCCCACACCGTCAGGCACGGACGTTTGCATGGCCCCTCACCGCCCAGCGCAAAGTGGTGGTGCTACTCGACAGGGTTTTGGGCATGAGCCTCGCCCCAATAACCAAACCAAAGACAAAAGGCTCAGGGTGCTGGGGTGGGGGGTGCTTGTGTGTGTCTCCCCTTCCCCCCCCCCAACACCCTGAATAAAGACCTCCCTATGGATTCACTACACTACAGGTTTGTCACGTCTCCAGGACCAGGGCTGCTACTCCATTCACTGGTCTATCTTGCTTGGGGAGTATTTTTGCCTTTCTGAGAAGAAGCCTCGCTCTTTCAGTTGCTGTGGCCAAAGCCCTTAAACGTACCTCCCCCTCAGTCAGCCGCCAGAGGTACTTACCGGCAGATGGCTGCCAGGCTGCTCCGCTCTAAGAGCATTTGTGTGCCGTCTGGGGATTTGCCACAACTCTGCTGCAGGAGTAAAATCCTGCCCGCTTTAGCCGGCAACAGAAAACCGCTGCTTGCCAGGCCAGGCCAGGCCTTCGCGCACGTCAGCCGGACGCCTGCCCTTTGCACCACAGCTGCACCTGCCCGCTGGAATTTCCACATTGCCGCTGGTCCGGGGGTGGGCAAACTTTTTGGCCTGAGGGCCACATCTGGGTGGGGAAATTGCACGCAGGGCCATGAATCTAGGGCAGGGGGTTGGGGTGTGGGCTGTGGGGGTGGGGGTGCAGGAAGGGGCTCAGGGCAGGAGGGGTGGTGTAGTGTGGGAGGGGGCTCAGGGCAGGGGTTTGGGGTGTGGGGTGCGGCAGGGGTGCAGAAGGGGGCACAGGGCAGGGGGTTGGGAAGCAGGAGGAGTCCGGCAGGGGGGTTGGGGTGCAGGGGGCATGTGGGGTGCAGAAGGGGATTCAGGGCAGGGGGTTGGGGTGCGGGGTGTGCTGTGCAGGAGGGGGCTCAGGGCAAGGGGTTGGGGTGCAGGAGGGGTGGTGTAGTGTGGGAGGGGGCTCAGGGCAGGGGGTTTGGGGTGCGGCAGGGGTGCAGAAGGGGGCACAGGCAGGGGGTTGGGAAGCAGGAGGAGTCCGGCAGGGGGGTTGGGGTGCAGGGGGCATGTGGGGTGCAGAAGGGGATTCAGGGCAGGGGGGTTGGGGTGCGGGGTGTGCTGTGCAGGAGGGGGCTCAGGGCAAGGGGTTGGGGTGCAGGGTGCTGGAGGTGGCTCAGGGCAAGGGGGTTGGGGGTGCAAGAGCGGTGTGGTGTGCAGGAGGGGGCTCAGGGCAAGGGGTTGGGAGTGCGGCGTGCGGGAGGGGGGCTCAGGGCAGGGGGTTGGCGTGCAGGAGGGGTTTGGGATGTGGGCTCCGGCCTGGTGCCTCTTACCTTGAGCGGCTCCGGGGTGGCAGCAGCGTGCAGCGAGGCTAAGGCAGGCTCCCTGCCTGCCCTGGCCCTGCGTGGCTCCCAGAAGCAGCCCGCAGCACATCCCTGGGGTCGGGGTGGGGTGGGGGCGGGGAGGCAGAGGGCGCCACATGCTGCCCTTGCCTGCAGGTACCTCCCCCGAAGCTCCCATTGGCCGTGGTTCCCTGCTCCTGGCCAATGGGAGCTGGGTGGGGCCCCATGGAAGGGGTGGAGTAGGGCCGGGGTGCGGTGCGGGGGGTCGAGCACCCCCGGGACAGTGGGGAAGTCTGCGCTTAGAGACCAGCTGGTGACTGAGGGGCCGTCTGCCCTGGAGCTGGGAGGGCTAATTTCCAGCTCAAGGAGGCAGCTAAACGCCAGCTCTGATGCAGCTGGTGCGCTATTAGAAGGACTGGGGTACTAGCCGCCTGCCCCCTCAGCTAAGGGGGCGGAACCACTGAGTCCAGGCTACTCGTGATTACGGGGGACAGCAAGAGAGAAAACTGGATGGGGAGTGGGGGGCAAAGGTTGATAATGAGGGCTCCAGAGGGGGACACGGAGCAGAGAACCTCAGGCGGAGCCCCCTGCTCCTCAAAGGCATCTAAGGAGCCAGTGGACGCCGCCCAGGGGGTCCGTGCCCACAGACGTGATCTGAGAAGGGAATGGATGTAGACCCCCCATAGTTGCAGAGCATGCCCCCATCCAGCTTCCTCCTTGGAGCGATGGATGGCTGCCGTGGCCAGCGCCCCGAGGAGATTGACGAGGAGGTCCCATGAGTGCGTGGGGCCATGGACGGGGTGCGGGTAGAGCAGGAAGGGTGGGGAAAAGTGCAGCCAGAACCTAAGGAAGAGGTTCTGGAAGAGCCGGAAGAGGGGCTACAACCGGATGTACTCTTCAGGGTCTCCCTCTCTTCGCGCAGAAGGGGCAAGTGTTGAGGGAGATCATGAACCCTGCCAAGTACACACCCATGCTCATGGCTCCATGAAGGAGACACCCACTAATATCCCTGGCAGGCTGTGGGACCAGAGTGGCATACGGACTGGCCCCCAAGGGTTCCTCGCCCTCCTCAGGTGGCAGGACGGGACATGCGGCCGGGGAAGTGGATGGTACAAAGCACGAGCGTGCACAGAGGTGCAGTTTGGAGGCAGGCTGGCTGGCGTTCAGCCGGCTCCGGTTGCGCATCGTTTTCAGCCAAGGAGGCTCACGGGGCAGGCGCCCAAGGACGAGGTCTGAAGGGCCAGGGGCGAGAGGGTAGCTTCCTCCTGTAGGCCTCACTCAAGGAAGGCAAGGCTTGGATGAGTTTGGCGCTGCGTTTGGGGTGGGAATCTGAGGGTTGTCCATTGTCTTCATGGCTTTCCATCACAACTTCAGCAACCACCACCCCTCCATTAAACCGTCTCTGCAAAACTTCCACCCTGGCATCAACTTCCTGGACACCAGGATCAGCTTCAACAAGGGAACCCTACAGATCCCTAGTTCGTTGTTACTAAGCAGACGGGCTGCTGTGTTTTGCACCAGTTGGAGCTTTTCCAGGGAGCATGACTTCAGCCACTTCTGCAAAGTAGCTGAAAGGTGCTAAGTACTAGAGTTATAAGGTCAGGCGAGATGGATTGTCTCAGCATTAAACAGTCTCCTGGAGGCTTGGAATGGATACAAGGAGAAGCAGCAATTGTCAGAGTATTGCTGAGACAGTACCAGAGGCGCCGACTTACAAAAGTGCCGGGGGGCAAGGGGGTGCTCGACCCCCAGCTCTGCCTCAGGCCCTGCCCCCACTGCACCCCTCCCCCCAAGGCCCCACCCCTGCCCCGCCTCTTTCCGCCCCATTCCACCCTCTCAGTAGGAGGCGCTGAACCTCGGGGCCTGCCCGCGGGCACTGTGGGTGGGAGGGAGCTGAGCGGGGGGCTGCCGGTGGGTGCTCAGGACCCACCATCTTTTCCCTGGGGGTGCTCCAGCCGCAGAGCACCCTCTGAGTCGGCCCCTATGGACGGTGCTGTCAGACCAAAACGTGTGCACGCATGTGGCCTTCAAAAAGCCGGTTGTGCCTCTCCAGCAGTTCGGAAGCAGGTGGCAATTCTCCAGGGCAATTCTCCAGGGGTGGAAAGTGGCTTTTGATTGATCCAGCTGGTGGGGGTTAGAAAAGCAGGACGCTGGCAACCGTTGGAAGCAAAGAACCCAGCAAGCTCCGGAGAGCTGTCGAAGGAGGAGGACACCCACTCCAATGGCAACAGTGTGTACCAGCACCTGCCATCCGCCTCTCAATCACAATGATTCCAGGCAAGCCGAGCCTGCCTCCAGCTGGCTACGGAGTCGGAGATGAAATAGGCAGAGGACCGTCTTCATTTATGTTTTGTTCCACAAATTCATAAAATCCTCCCCCTAGGGAGCCTTGCTGCAAAGATTGCACAGTTGGGGGATTTGCTATTTCCGAGGCACACGAGGAGAGACAGTGCATCAAAGTCTGAATGTTTTAAAGAGCCAAGCCAGCGAGGTAAAAGGTCTTTTCTGGCCCCACCTCTCTCGCTCCCCATGACTTTGCTCTCAAAGAGCCTGATCAAATTCCCTGCAAGTCAATGGGATTTTTCCTCTCCATTGACTTCAGTGGGCTTTCGATATGTCCCATGGGCAGAGCTGCTCTTGACCTGCGTATCGTAGATATGGCCATTTCCTGCAATATCCTGGGCAAATCTGATTGAATTACCTTAAACCTTATTGAGTTAAGGTTCAGTAACTTAAGAGTTCATTGTATTAAAAATGCAAGAGTCTATGTATCACTGTGGGATTGTACGTAATGTCTGTAGGGAGGAGACCTAGAATCATAGAATATCAGGGTTGGAAGGGACCTCAGGAGGTCATCTAGTCCAACCCCCTGCTCAAAAGCAGGACCAATCCCCAGTTAAATCATCCCAGCCAGGGCTTTGTCAAGCCTGACCTTAAAAACTTCTAAGGAAGGAGATTCTACCACCTCCCTCGGTAACGCATTCCAGTGTTTCACCACCCTCCTAGTGAAAAAGTTTTTCCTAATATCCAACCTGAACCTCCCCCACTGCAACTTGAGACCATTACTCCTTGTCCTGTCCTCTTCTACCACTGAGAATAGTCTAGAACCGTCCTGGCCAGTGTCAAGCCTGGGCAGTATTATGAACTTCAAGGGACTCTTTGAAAACAATGTTCTAGACCTGGGTTTCTCAAGCCCCGGGGTCAGGAACCAAAATTGGGTTGCGTGACAGCACCTGTGAGCTCGCCTCCCTGCTCCCGGCACCACAACCTCAGGGGTCCCAGTGCCACTCAGGTTTGGCTCAGCCGTCATGATGATGGGAGTCCAGGTAGGCCAAATTTGAGTGACTGGCACTGCAACCCCATGACTGAGGTCACAACTTCACTCTCACACATTTGGGTCGGTCGGGGGGCAGGACCAAACATAATGACCATACGGGGTCAGATCAATGGGTCCATCTAGCTCAGTATCCTGTCTTCTGACAGTGGCCAGTGCCAGGTGCCCCAAAGGGAGTGAACAGAACAGGTAATCATCAAATGATCCATCCCCTGTCGCCCATTCCCAGCTCCTGGCAAACAGAGGCTAGGGACACTTCAGAGCATGGTTTTGCATCCCTGCCCATCCTGGCTAATAGCCATTGAAGGACCTATCCTCCAGGAACATATCTAGTTCTTTTTTGAACCCTGTTTTAGTCTTGGCCTTCACAACATCCTCTGGCAAGGAGTTCCACAGGTTGACTGTGTGTTGTGTGAAGAAATCACCCCAAGGCCTCCACCCCCAAACTATTTACTAGGTCACGGCAGGTGAAGAACATTTACAAGTAGGTCCTGAGCCTAGAAAGGTTGAAACCCACTGTGCTAGACCAAGTTAAGTGGGATTCCTAGGAAATACTTGGAAGGAGGGGAAGGCAAATTCTCACCTCCAGACTCCACCGTTCAAATCTGTGCCCTGAGGAGAAGCCCATTGTCTGCAAAACCTGTAGACATATCTTCACTACTACAATGATCAACAACCCCCTTTGAAGATCCATGGGGCCTACACATGCCTGTCACCACAGATGGTGTACCTCAGACCTTGGCCTCCTGTAACCCTGTCACTGAAGGACAAGATCAGAGGCCAAGAATGGATGAAGGCATGACTCAGAGATTCATGAGGATGCTGTTATCAACTTGTGACCACTGACAAATCCCTTGGGGGAGGGTTCTGAGGGACTGATCACAGGCCAGAGCCCTTGCTGGAAGTGGAGTGATCTCTGGTAAGCTCATTAGCAGGCATGTAGGTTCTTTGATTGTTTTTAATATGTTTTCTCTGCAATGCTTTTACCTATGGTAATTGCACTGTTATCACTTCTGAGGCAAAGGCAGCCAAAGCAGGGCTGCTGAGGCAATCTGACTTGCCAGGGAACTCAGAGTATAGGCAAGGGTCTGTGCAACCTGGAAATACACTGGTCAGGAGGGAGAGAGATGCGGACTCCACCCAAGGGTGGTGACAGCTGGAGTGCTGAAGGCCTAAGAGTAGGTGCCCATGCTGGACCATTGGGGGTAGGGGGGGCGGGGGGAGGTGCAGTTGCCCTGAACTGTGACAATGCAAATTACTTCCCCCCTCCATTTCCCTTGTCAGTAAATCTCACTTTTTTTTTTATCATCCTGGCCTTTGCAGCTGCTGATTTATGTTCACTGTAATGAACGAGGCTCCACAAAAATGAACTGTGCTGTCAGGTGTGATTTATGAAGCCATCTTTACTGCTCGCAGAATCATCTTCTTCCCCTCTTGTTTAATTTAGTGACAGGAGCCGGTTTTATACCTCAAAAGCAACCAGGACTTAGATCTCCAAAGGAACCTTAAGGTTTTCTTTTTGCTTTACAAGTCCCTTGTTCCTTTGACCCCCACAGTGGGAAGGGCTGAAGACAGACTGAAGTCATGAATAAACACTAGTACATTCCCTAAAAGGCAAAGATTTCACGCTAAAACCTCGAGCTTTTATGAATGAAGAGCCCAGCAGATAGGGACGTATTAATCAGACCTCGGCAATGTTAGGGGAGAAAGATGATTTGTTCGATTAGAGATATAGACTCCATAACTGCTGTGGAATTAAGTGCAGCTATTAAATGTCTAATATGTGGGATTTATAGGTGTGTATGTTAACCGTGAAATTACAGGCAGGCTTTGAAGAGGTATCTTCGTGAGCACATTAGCCCTTTATAAAGTGATTGAGCCTTCACTCGTGTATAGAAGGACCTCCGACATCTGCTTTTTTTATCCACTCACGGTCCCCACTACTCAGCTTTACTAGAGGAAAGCCTGTCTGAGGGTCTGCCTTCGGTCGTCAGTGGGCAGCAAGAGCCAAGCAGCAGGGGCTGAACAAAGCACTTTTGAGGTGCGGCTGCGCACCAAGCTTTTCAGGTGGCAGAAGCTTGACTTTCGGCAGGGACGTCGATATTTAGACACCTCAGGAAGAGGCCTGATTTTCAGATATGCCGAGCGCTCAGCAGTTCCCACCTTAAACACTGGCCCACTTAGCGAGTTGGCTCAATAGGGACTTAGGCCTCTAAATTTAGGCACCCAACTTCTGAGAATCTGGGCTCATGCGTGAGGTGTTGCATCCCTGATCATCTTGGCTAATAGCCATGACAGGTTGCATCCCTGATCATCTTGGCTAATAGCCATTGCTGGACCTCTCCTCCATGAACTTATCTAATTTTTTGAACCCTGTTATACTTTTGCCAGCTCAACATCTCATGGCAATGAGTTCCACAGGTTAACTGTGTATTGTGTGAGGTGGAGTTTTGCTTCTAAGGGATAGGCCAGGGGTGGGAGAAGGCTGTGGGACAGATGTAGGGGCTGTAACAATACAGAATTCTAAGACAACATTAGGATGACAATGACTCTATATCCATATGCTTGGTCCTAGCCCTTCAAAGAAACCTGTTGCACCCTGCCAGTTTGCTACCTGGGTGAGGTTCCTTTCCAAAACTTTGGTCATATGGCTAGGGTGCGACTCAGGACACCTAGGTTCAATTCTCTGTGCCCCCGTTCATCATCTGTAAACTGGGGTGACTAGCACTGCCCTACGTTACAGGGCTGTTCTGTGTAGAGCATGAGACCCCCAGGCCCCATTGTAATAAGAGGCGAAAGAGATATCTGCGATGGGTAGGCTGATAAGGATTGTGTTAAATCTGAGTTTAGAACAAGCTAAAGTAGCCACTGCTCTCTTTAGAGCAATTAGCAACTTTAGAGCAATTAGCTTTAGAGAAACTTTAGAGCAATTAGCTTTCAAATCAGCCTTACCCTCCCAGCTAGAAAACTAAAGAGCTTGGTTTTCAGCTCCCACTGACTTCAAGTAGAGATGGGGAGGTTCTGCCCCACTGGAAAATAAACCTAGTTTCCACCACCCAGTTCTGACTCTGATTCAGCTGCCATCCTCTGTTCCTCCTGCGTGCGAGTTCTTTACTGATGGGCAGTCCAGATCCTCCAGAATGGGATCTGGTAGCAGCAGGAAGGTCGGGGCTCCTTGATTGCTCAGCGTTCATTTTTGTTTGCAAGCCAGCACTGAGACCAGTTACTGACCTTCCGGACTGAGCTGGGGCACACTGTCATTCGCAAACGCTGGGGCTGGCTGGCTGCTCCCCGGAGGGAAGGTTAACCCTGAAACCAGAGAGCCTGCTCTGAAGTCCACCTGTCGAAGGCAGTATGACTTCAAGGCAGCAGGACGTGGGCTACTTCCCTTAGCAAAGTGTGCTCAGCAGAAGGAACATACAACAACAAAAGTCACAGTCAGCAGTCACAACAAAAGCTAAGGGTCAGGAGCAGATTTATTTAACAATAGAAAAACCTCAAACCTAAATCTCTACTTCCATTAAGAAAGCATTTCAGATCTTTGGGGTTGGGCTTTTTCAAGTGTCTATTTGCATATGCGCTAAATCACTGTCGGTCATTCAAGTATACAATTTAAAAACAAGTCCCCTACCCCTACCGTGAGGACACTGACAGCTGACAGAGTGTCTCTAGATAGTCCAGGTTGTCTCACCATTTTCCTTCCCCTCTGCCTCTCATGAGTTTATAAAGACTATCACTTAGAGATACTAGAATACCGGAGGGAAGCCATCCCTACTGGTGTCTGGTGATAACTACTCTGCAACACCTAGACTGTCTTGTAAACAGAGATAGATGTAAAAACATCCTGGTGATTTCATTCAAATAAAATCCAGATACAGAGCATGGCAAAAAAACTGCATCACATGAAACAGGAGACCACATACAGTGTAGCTGATAAATGAGAGCAGCCTGTGTACAAATACATTACATTCACTTTTACACTTGCCAAGCTATTGTTTGGCTAGCAACAGTGAACCCAAACTACTTGAGTCACATTCACGGCTAGTGTAAACGGGTTCCATGTGGAGTGGAGGCCAGTGCTGAATTTGACTCCATGTCTCAGCCCCATGCCAGATTTTCACTCTTTGATCTACAAGCTTTACTGCTGCTCTAACACTGAATTCTACTTGTGCTGAACACATTCCCTGCTCTGAGTCTGTGTAAAAAGCTTTCCCCTGCTCCGTGATGAAGATCAAGGTGGAAATCTTACTTCTGGGCTAGTCTTTCCCAAGGTATGTATATACCAGCTGATGAGCAGAAGCAGGGTTTAAACCAAGTTATTTGTGGGAAGGAGGGATAGACCTTCCAGTGAACATGCAGGCTTATTCTCCCCCTGCCTGAGAAAATACTTTGAAAACCATGTGCCGTTTGGGGCACTCCAAAGGCAGGAAGTTTTGCTCCTCAGAGATATTGCTCTGAGTCAGCAGATGCCAACTCCATCCTGCTATGGGCGGCTTCACAGTTACAGGAAAGAATGAACTTCAAAGGCAGTGAATCCCTTCCCGTCTACTTGAACACTGATTGTAACATAGGGGTGTTTGCTTGTGTGCTGTTCTCTGACAAATTAGAGGAGCAGCCAGTGGAACAAGTCTTGTTGTCAAACTCAAAGAGCGTTAGGAACAGTGGAGCGTGAAAAGGATAGGCTGGCTGATTATGCCCCTTTCATTTAGTCTGTGTTATAAGCAGACACTTTCAATAGCACAGGAAGGAAGGAAGCTGTAAATTAGTTTGACCAGCTGCTCAAAGTCAAGACAGCTGAAAATGGGGAGCTAATCTGGCTATGGAACAGTTCTAGGAAGTGGCATTGCAAGCTTCCCCACAAGGCACCAGCTGTGACCTCTGGGGACCTCTGCTAAAGGTCATCACAGTGGCTAATTCAGTCCTTGTTCTCTGCTGAGACAGCCAAAGGCTGCCACCCTCAGAGCTACTTATGATGGCTTTCGCTCTTCTGCTATCACGGCTTATTCTAGCCAGATGCTCAGCTAGCTGCCTGCGGGCAGTAAATGTAATCTAATATGGGAACGTGTTGGCTTTGTATTCAGATTGGTTTATGCCTCTTAACATTCACTCATTAGCAGAGTCCCGGCAGTGTACTCACTTGCGGGTTTGTTACTGCACATTTATCTTTCCTCCTTGCTCCTAAAAAGGACAATACAGAACCCTGCCACTATTAATTCTCTATTGCTACAACCCCTGTGCAAGCTCATTCCTGAACACTGCTGGCCAGGTCTACCACAATGCACAGAACTTGTCTGTGCACTTGCAGCCGAACAGGAGGATACGCAAATCCAAAGCCTCACACGGGGGGGTAGAAATGGCACGGCACAAAGAACTGGCACACCCAAATCAAAGCGAGGATCGGAAAGGTTGGCTCCTTGACCTTGCCAAGTCATTTAGCAGGACACTAAGTGGAAGCCATCTTTATGGACCTGATGTCACAAGAGCGCCACCCCTGGTTGATTCAGAGGCTTAAGCAGCAGCAGCAGAGGGGGAAAGAGTGGTGAACACAGGGAAAGCTCCATGTTAGACCTGAGCAGTAACTTCACCATGGGATTCAGAGGACAATCAACCATGCAAAGGCCTTCAACATGGTTGACTTCATCTGAGCCCTTCGGGGGAAACACCTGTAATTTCACTGGGCATGTCACTCAGCAGGGTGGTTCTCCTCTGCAAATGGAATGTAAAAGAGGCACCTTCTGATTGAAGAGATCTGTTCCCTAGCTGCACTCAGGAACACAAACAAAGCCTCTACTCTTAGCCACGCAGAGCCGACAGCCTCCAGCTCGCTCACTCTTGGCTATTGCATCTTGTGCTCCAGTAGAATAGTCTAAATTCTAAACAGTCTCATCTTGACAAACCCACTGGACTCGGGTTGCTAGGAGTCACTGGGTTCTAATTTGGCCTGCAAAACCCTTCCAGTCCAGCTGGGTTCTTTGGATCAGGGCTGGCTTTACTACGCTAGCCATTAGGATGGGAAAAGCGACCTGGGAACTGGACACAGCTGACCAGGACGGAGTCCCTGGTGCCATTTGTCACCTGCGCTTTAAAAGGTGACCTGCAAAATGAAACTGAGTCAAGCCCTGATCTTACGTATGTCCGGAGCAGGAGACCAGGACAACAGCGTGACTGACCTTTTAAATGTCTTTCCCAGCTCAGTGACACTCTCTCACACGTCTGGGCTCACTGAAGAGCCCACAACGCGATATCCCAAATGGAGAGTCTTGTTGCAGGCTCTGCGCCGGTGCAGAATGCATCCTTCCTAGCCACGTGCACCGAGCCAAGAACGGCAGAGGACTTCACAGAGGGAGCAGGAGACTTGGGAAGAGTCGGTAGCCGCAGCGGTTTTGAATGCCCCCTGCAGCTAGGGAGCCAGCCCAGAAGCCGGGGCTTGGCATCCATGCTTTGCGATTGAACTTTACAACGCTGCGCTGGGCATTAGCGGCACCAGGCTGCGAGTAAGGTAATGAGAATGGTAATGGACAGCAGCCAAAGAGTAAAATCAGACAGGTGGGGAGGGAGGGTGGGCCGACAGCACCACAGGCAGGGGGCCAGTGCCAGGCCAGCGTCTAACAGACGCATCTTACCTTTACAGTATTAAAAATTTTAAAAGGACCATTTTAAAATGAAAGGGGCTGCGAGCCGAACTCACTAAACTCGTTCTCTACATGTTCCCCACAGCTTGGCGCAGCCAGCAGCTATTCTGTATTACAGAAACGACCCCTCTTGCAGGGGAGTCCCTGGTGCTCTGCCCTGGAAAACCATAAAAAAAAAAGTCCTTTCTGAGACAGTCCTTTACTCCTTCTTGGCCTCCTTCTTCTGTTTGGCCAGCAGAGGCCCCAGGCTGGTCCACACTTCGGTGTACATCAGTGTGCCCACAAAGACAAAGAGGGTGCCCAGCCAGTGCCAGGCGGTGAAGGGGTTCTTGAAGTACAGGATGGAGAAGATGAGGCTGACAAACTTGCGCAGCGTCACCACCAGGGTGACGGTCAGGGAGGTGCACTCCGTGGTGAGGATGAAGACTCCCCGAATGCACACATATCTGGGTGGGGCAAGTTAAGGGCACAGCGAGTGGAGAGAAGCGCAAGCCGGTGGTTGGCCGTTTGAGAACATGGGGGCCTTGGGTGGGTCCAGTGGACGGATTAAGCCCTCAGGAAAGTGAAACAGATAGCACCAGCTTGAGCCAGGGACAGTGCAGCTAAGTGCTACTTCCCGACCCGCAGAACCCCTGCCATTCCAACCCTGAGCTCCTCCTGCCCAGCTCTGCCAATGCCCCTCCAGCCTGACCCATAGTCCCTCCTCCTGGCCTCTCCCCACACACAGAGCTCTGCCTATGCCCCTCAATCCTGCCCCCCGCCCCACTCTCCTATTCCAGTACTGCTCTCCCCGCACACACAGCTCTGCTGATGCCCCTCCATCCTGACCTGCAACCCTCCTTCCACTCCCTGCTCTTCCGGCCATGGGCCCCCACTCAGCTCTGCTAAACTCACTCCAGTCCTGCAGCGCCCCCCAGGCCTTCTGTCCCTGTCGCCCAACCCAGTTCTGCAAAGGCCTCTCACCCCTGAAGGAAGCTAGGTTTGCTCATGTTCTTTTAATGTTAAAATATTTCTTATTTGCCCATCTAGCTTGTTCTTCCTCCCTGTTTCATGGTTTCTGTACAGACACTGCCCCTGCTCATAGCCATGACAGATATTCACAGGTGCTTCTCCTGCTGCCCCAATCGCCTACAGTCTGAAGGCTCATCTGCCCCACATAGCTGCAAAGGCACCTCAAAGCTACCCCCTCCCCAGGTTCTAGCCATCCATTCATGCACAATCCAAACTAGCCAATGGAGCACGGCTGGGAGATCTTTCTGCTCCTTTGCTCTATGCCCTGTTCCCGGAAGCTGGGTTTGCAGGCTCTCTGGTAATTCCTACCAACGTCCATGCACCTTTACAGCTCTCCCAATACAAGGGATGATACGATGTCCTTCAACAGAGGCCAAACCCTAGGAGATTCAGGATCACTACCATGCACCTTTAAGTATAAGAGCTAGTAGCCTCATTCCTCACATTCAGGGCTAGACTTACGTGACTTAAGGCCACCAGCCACAAGGGAATACTCAAGATCCACCCCTGCCCCCACCCGGAAAGAACTGACTTTAAAGAGAGGCACAAAATTTGTTCTCCTCTTCTGAGCCCTTAACATGTTTCCATAGCCGTTTGCAGTGCCTATATGAATCCCCCCACTCCTCGACACCAGCCAGAGCTCTCGGAGAATCCAGCCATCATAATCTCAGAACCAAACACAGAGCTAGAGAAGCTGCTCTCTTAAAGAAGGGTTAAAAAGTTGCACTGATGTGCTGACAGCACCTGCTCAAGACCAGGGAGGCTAAATCTAAGAGCTATCAATCCTCCTGCTGCAGGGCATAAGCTGATAAACAGCAGGAGTGGAGAAGTTTCTTCCCCTCCACGCCCCCTTGCTAGAATACAGGAGGGACGTGTTTAAGGAGGTTTTTTTTTTTTTTTAACACCAAGAGGCTTGTGAAGCAGTAGAAAGGCTCCTCACTGGGGTGCAGAGGGAATAGTGAAACAAGGACCGATAGCTGGGGCGGGGGGGGGGGGGGATTTCTAAGACAAAGGGGTGGTAGAATTTCGACACAGAGCCAGCCGGCTGCCTTTTTCGGGGGATCGGGAAGCTTCTCACTGATCCATCTTTCCCCTTCCCCGGGACAGGCAAGAGTATTTGTATTCACAGGAATATTTCCACCCTCCTCTGACCCAGTAAGTGTAGAGGACAAAGGTAGAGTTCAATGATAGGCAAGTAGAGTTGCCTAAGTGCTAAAGCCAGTCAGTTGTCAAGTCATTCCACACACACAGGACCCTAGGCTAGCTTCTGCTGCTACTTGACTCAAATTATATCTGCACAGCTGTCTGGATCTCTTTCCAAATTTCCTCTGAAGTATCCTGCAGTGGCTGCTGTCAGAGAGAAGGATACTGGTCTAGGTGGAGTATTGGTTTGCTGCAGTGCAATGGGAGGTGGCATATTGTACTAGATGAACCATTGTTGCTTTATACGCAGGTGCACACAAGTTGCCATTGCAGAACAGATCAATCCTTGCACAGAGATTGGGAGGGAACAGAAACAGAAACCCCCCTTCCACATAAAGAGCTTACAATAACCGCAAGCCATAGCTCGGCAAACTGCAGGAGCATCTGTCTCACCCCTGTATCGCCGAGGTGTGTTCATAACAAACAAGCAACCAGAGGGTGCCATTATCAAAATGCTTGGGTCCCCATCTCTTCTGTTGCCTTCACTCACTGCATTCTGCCTGAATTCAGAGAGCAAGAGCTTCCCTGCCTCACAGGACCCTCTCTGCCTGCCTTTTCCAACTTGACACGCACAATAATTATTACCCGTAGAAGTTTAGCTGCTGTGTCCATACCTTACATCAGTTCAAGCGACCTGTCGATGCCTCTGGTGTCTTGGACACAACACGCACGCTGTTTCAGCAGCTGACAGTTCCTCTTGCACATCAGCTCTGAATTCAGGGAGGTCTAAGAGCACAAGGCAGGATTTACACAACTGATCTTTTGGCCCCGTTTTCTCAAAACACTTGAATCCCTGCTGCCTGCCCTGGCTCTGCCGCCAGTGTGTTTGAAGGATACTGAGTGATGACGTTCACGACGAGGTAGAACCACATGATAGGTAAGGTCAGCCCGATCCCCGGGACTTGGAATGGCTCTGTGAGGAGAGGGGAAAGAAGAAAGGTCCATGTCTGATCTCAGCCCAGTTTTTAATGGCACAAAACCACAGGCAATGGCAATGAGCCCCCTTCTTGGTGGTCTCAGCAGGGAAGCCTCTCAATTGCATCTCACTCAGGGAGGCCTGCAGGAAAAGCTGTGGGGAGCTTTCATTGCGGCTGACGATGCTGTACCCACGCTAGGGATAAACACACCACAGCTCTGGAGACGGAAGGGCATTCAGCACCAATGGCATTCTAAAGCATACTGGAAAGCAGTAACAGTTGCACATGCTCCAGGGGCCCTGGGCCCTACCACCTGGAAAGGGGCCCAGTTCTGGTTCTGATCTAGTGGGGTAACTTGACTTTTATTGCTAGACAGAAACATCATGGTGAGGTGCCATCTCTTACTGCTCGCTGGTGTCTCCTGCTGTATGTGCATTACACACAGAAGCTGGGCAAAGCTTTTGCCGTGATAAGCACCATGAGAGCTGTGCATTTCAGAATTCTCAGCCGAAGACGGGTCCACTATCAAGCAGCTATTGGCGGTGAGAACATGAATCCCAGTTTGCACGTGCTTCTGCAAGTTTTTTGGGGAGGAAAGGAAATCTCACAAAGGCAACACTGTGCTGGCAATACCCCACTGGAAAAGTTTGTGTGAAAAACATGTGTCATTTTCACACAGTTCATCTACCCAGACACGCATCACGGGCTAGAGCAGGGGTGGCCAACCTGTAGCTCCGGAGCCACATGCGGCTCTTCAGAGGTTAATATGCGGCTCCTTGTCTAGGCACCGACTCCAGGGCTGGAGCTACAGGCGCCAACTTTCCAATGGGCTGGGGGGTGCTCACTGCTCAACCCCTGGCTCTGCCACAGGCCCTGCCGTGCCCTGGCTCCTCTCCCCTCCCCTCCCAACCAGAGCCTCCTGCATGCCAGGAAACAGCTGCTTGGGAGGTGCAGGGAGGGAGGGGGAGGCGCTGATTGGTGGGGCTGCCGGTGGGCGGGAGGTGCTGGGAGCAGGGAGCTGGTGATGTATTACTGTGGCTCTTTGGCAATGCACATTGGTAAATTCTGCCTCCTTCTCAGGCTCAGGGGGGCCACCCCTGGGCTAGATCCTCAGCTGCTGTAAGCCTCTGCAGCTTCATTGATTCCAATTTCATAGCTACGCCGATTGCAACCAAAGAATCTGGCCTGTTTTGTGCTCATGCCCTGCCCCATGCCAAGGCATCACTTATGTGAATGGTTTAATGAAATCTGTTATCACTTGATTTTCTGAATGGGGAGGAAAAACAGCCCTTCTTTTCCGCTAGATAGAAGGATTTTCATTTTTACATGGCTGTGATTGACGAGGGAAGATGAACTGTGTGTTACAGGGGAACCTGTTTACGAAACATCACGTAGAAAAGTTTTTGGCTGTCAAATAAAATTGGGGATCTGTGTATGTGAGGTGGGGCTTATTTAACAATAACATTCACCAGTTTTCAGGTTTCACTTCTGCATGTAAGTAACTTCATGCACACAAAACAGACCCACTGATTTTAACGGGACTACTGATGATAGATAAAGTTAAGCATGGGTGTATTAGCAGGGTTGGGAACTTGACGAGTTTCTAATCCCTCTGCTGGGTTAAAGCATTCTTCATAGCAATCCACAGATTTAAGTTCAGAAGGGAGCACTGTAATTACTTAGGCTGACCTACATAACCACCAGCCAGAGAGTCTCACCCAGAGATTCCTGCACTGCAGAGAAGCAACAAGTGCATCGACTTGCACAAAGAAAACTCACCAGACTGGCTGAAGAGAACAGCATGGGCGTAGATGTCCGGAGCGAGGAGGAGGAAGCCAGGGAGGGGCAGGGCATGCTATGGCAAGAGACAGAAATTCAATGCAGAGGTTTAAACTGACACCATTCAGAGAATCCACATCAGTACAGGGAGCCAGTGTATGTGCATTTCAACTAATATTAAAGGACAAATGCTTTAACATACTAATTGCCACTACGAGGCTGCCCGTGTATAATCTGAGCTCATGTACAGTTTATCCATCTCTCCGACCCCAAGTGAAAATGATCAGTCACTCTTGGAAGACCAGTCCAGGATTACGACAGGATGAAATGCATTCACTGACCCAACCCTCAAGTTCTAAAGGGCTGAACACCTGAGCGAGAAGCTTGGGGACAGTTTTTGATCAATGCAGGCCTCATTTCCCCTACCCCCTCTACAGTATAGTAACCTGGCATCATAGGACTTAAAGATGGGAAAGGACCTATTATAAAATCATCATGCAGGATTATTTCCTACAAAACATTTCCTACCGCCGAGCACCGCCAGGGATTGCCCTCATGGCTCTGACCATAGGATCAGGGCCTTCAGGTCTGGATTCTTTCTAAAAAAAGGTTCCATCCGGGCCAGTGGCTCTATTGCATAGAGCAGACTAGAACACTGCATGAAATGTATATTTGAAATACTTTGGTTTGAGATAAAGCCAGCCGTTGCTTACGTTGTAAAACAGTGCCTCCTTGGAATGCTTTCCAAACTGTTTGTAGATGGTCTCTTGAAAGATCCCCATTCTGGCTGACATCAGGAGGGCGAAGGTCAGTGCCACGATTCCTGTAACACAAAAGCAGCCTTACTGTCCTGCCCTAGAGCTTAATAAACCTCACGTCAATCAGCGTAGGCAGATCTCCAGGGCGTGACTCGAAACGCAAGAGAATGGGAAAGCCGACAAGAGACTGGTGCCGCAGCCAAAAGATGTTGGGGCCTTTGACTATTTTACCCATGTGACTTAGGCGCTACGTCTCATGGAAAGCCAATAGGGTTTAAGCACCTAAGGCCCATTTTCAAAAGTGATTTCGCTGCTTTAGATGATGTTACCCCTTTGACTGATATCAAAATCTAAAGCCAGCCCCTAGATGGAGTTACTGCCCCACATGCAAAGAGACTAGTGATGATATTGGGTTCCTCAAGATATCAACCCCAGCCACTAAAAGCAGCCAGAAAGTGAAGACTGGCCATATTAAACTCTTCAGTGCCAGTTTTCTAAAAAGGCTCCTCCATGGTATATCAGACCCATAAAATACAACCAAGCTTGTAGGTAACTGCTCCCTCATGGGGTAGTCTGCAGCACCTGGGTGAACAAGAAGGCCCTCTATTGTAGGGAGGAATTGGGCCAATACTGTCGGCATACATATGGGGCCAAATACATGCCTGGTTTAAACCTGCTGTAGGCAATGGAGTGACACCCAGGACTGAGACTGTCCTTTGATCTCTAAGCAATTCTTTTACTCCCCCCCTTCAGCTTCAGCGGATGACGGGATGCTGCAATATTTTCAGAAGCCATCATTTCTTGGGTTATTCTCCCATGTCTCTTTCCTACAGGGAGTCTGCTTTACAGAGTTAGGCCCAGATTCTAATCTTGGTTACATCAGTGGCACCTGTCAAATGGAGATCAGACTCTGCCCTGTTTGTACTTAATATGAATCTCTCAAATTCACTGCTGAAAAGTAACCTGGGAAGAGACCTGATAAAGGAGCAACCCAGCTCCGTCACTAACCCACACGAATACTTTGGATACTATTTTTGACCAGCTGGTTGCAAGCAGCTTTTTGTGATAGGCTTGTATCAACAGGGTGAGAGAGGGCAACGTGATTCTGCTTAAATCGATAGCAGAAATGCAACTGATCCCTGGAGCCGGGCATCCCACCGCTCTCTGCTGCCGTGCAGTTTAAGCACGGCTGCAGGCCTGGAGATCAGCCCCATGAAAGCAACTTCGACCAACATAATTGCAAAGCCAATTAGCGTCACTGCACTTACAGACCTAACAGCCACCACATGAAGACATGGAGTCCGTCCGCTTCACTTAAGCTGGATTTAGAAGCCTACGGAAGGTGGGGACAAGAGAGTCAGATCATTATAATGGATGCAGTTTGGCAGTTTTCAAGGGACTAAGTTTGTCTCTCTGTTCCCAATAGCTGATGGATTGTGTTCCAAACCTACATACACCCAGGGTATCGAAGACAGCCCGGAGTGTCCTTCCTCTGCACCTGTAAGTCCCTTCACTGGTTACAGAGAGTATGTGGTAGTTCTGGGTTTCACCCCTGCTTTAGTGAAATTGGTGGGGTATGGACAGAAGATCAGCAAAGCATCCCTTTCAAAGAAACACACTGGCTGAAGACATATGTCGCTTCCCCTCCCCTCCCTTTATCCTAACTCTTGACTGACTGTGTGAGTTATGATGAAGCGGGTATTTTGGGATATTTGTTGTATTTGGAAAAAATAATCAGTTACCAAGAATACTACAAAATGCTAAACGCCCATTTTTTCATGCTTTGTGTGTATAAAAAGATCTTCTACACTTTCCACAGTATGCATCCGATGAAGCGAGCTGTAGCTCACGAAAGCTCACGCTCAAATAAATTGGTTAGTCTCTAAGGTGCCACAGGTCCTCCTTTTCTTTTTGCTCAGAGATGGTGAGCTCCTGAGGAAGCCAACAGGAGCTGCAGGTGCACAGCCTCCTTTGTGGGGTAGAAAACAGACTTATCCAAGCGTGCGCCTATTGAAAATGGGATACAGGCTCACACATGCCGATACCCACGCCTGCACTCCATGGCACATGCCGAACTCACAGTATTTGCTGTGAACCTATTAAAGTTAACTTGGATTATTACTTCTAATCTAGTCTAGAAGTACAGCTGTTCAATGCATCTGGGGATGCATTAATCTCCTGAAATCTGCATTATAAATAAGCAAGGATCCTACAGAACCCAGCCTCTTTCACTGCAGACTAACTGTAAGCAGCTGTCTCTGTGAAAGAGCACCAGGGCTGCTTATAGTTATTGCACAAGGAATCAGGCCTGGCTCCATGAGAATCTTGTAAGTTTTTCCTCTCTACAGGTGCCTGTGAAAGCAGGAGATTGGTCTCCAACCCAGGAGGTCCCTTCCGATTCTACGTTCTGAAGTATATTTTCCCCCATGATAAAGCGTTATTGTCACTGCAAGTCTGCAGTGGGCTTACACACTATTCAAACCCTCAAAACTAGGCCAAATTAAATCAGTTTTCACCAAGACCCTGGAAGGGGCATCTCTCTAAGACCTATCTCCATGGTCAGTTTCAATTTTCTGGACTTACCTCTTTAAAACCTGTTAAACCAAGAAGGAAAAACCTAAAACAAGAAAAGTTGCACACGTGTGTGCATTCTCCTTACCCCAAAACCACACTCTCCTTGCTCACAAAAAATTGCCATCCTGTTTATGCTCAAACTTACCCAAAAAAATAAAAATCACACTTGGTTTCGGGCCAGGCCTGGAAAATTCTAGTTTGAAAAGTGACCAGTTCTGGAAGCTGAGAGCAAGGTTTTTAGATAAGCCACTGCCACTCTAAGCAAAGTCACCACAATGGTTGTGCAACAGGTAATAATCAAATATATTAACCCCAATAATTCTGTTTCCTCTGCAGGTGAAAGTAACTTGATATTCAGTGTGCCCCTTGGAAAAGAAAAAACTAAGCAGCATGTCATAAAAGGCACCTTGAACTAAAAAATAAAAAAAAAGGGAAGGCCAGCAAAAATCAGGTGTCTGACTGTGGGAAAGCTCTCTAGGGAAACAGACAAAAATAGGCAGTGTACTTCCTTCCCATTGATACAAAGGGAATTGCCTGATTAAGGCATCCGTGGCAGCTCCTACTGTTAATAGGGCTCACAGCTGCACAGACTCAGACACTTGAAAAGCATTCCTTACCACTTGCTTTGCAGACATTAAAGTGCAGATAAAGATCCCCATGGACACCAGGGCTATGGATGTGTATTTAGACACACTGTATCTGCAACAAGAGAAGAACAGAGAGACTTCAGCATTCTAGTCTCCCCTTTCCAAGCTGGGAGCTTTCACCCAATGCTGCACTGAAGAGGCATTAGGCCTGATTCTGCTCAGTTACCTTGGTGTAAGTCTGGAGTAACTACTGATTGGAAACTGTTGAACAGAAGATCCACGGAAAAGCTCTTTCAGTTCTAGCCCTTTCCATGCTCAAAAATTTAAGTGCTCTCTTTTCAAGAACTAGTCCAGGACCAAAGGGTTCCTAGCCCCACTAGATCACAAGATAGGGAGCCTTAAGATCATGTAATTCTGATTACTCTCTTGCTGAGCCACTTACTTTTCATTCGCTAATACCCACACACAGATGGAAAGGTCAGCAGAAACGAGCTCTTATGGCAAAACCTAGCCTCACTCCCGCCTGGCCCAGCAGCATGTCTCAAGCCCTGGTTCATCAGTGCTAACAGTATCTTTTACATAAACCAGCCACTGGAGGGGGACAAAGACCCACACGCTCCTATTGCGGCAAAACCAAAAGCTTCTTGAAAAATATTTAAGCCGATACCCCACATGGAAGGGAGTCCTACCCAGGCCTCAGCTGGAAGGCTGGTGGCTGCAAAGGGAGTGACAAGGGCTACTGAGTGACAAAGCACTCTCTTCCCTGTCGCTCCTCAGCCACTTACAGTCACACGGCCAGCCCATGAGCAGCAACCTGGGATCAACTCTCCTTAACTACTTACCTATCAGTAAGGGGTGATATAGGGCTTAATCGATTAATGATCATAAAACACTGTGCAGCTCAGACAGAAGGTGGTACAGAAATGCAAAGCAGTGGTACTGAAATGCTCCCCCTTCAGATACAGCTGGAGCACCAATCCCAGCTTTGATATGGACTCCCTCCCTGACTTCTGGCAAGTCACTTACCTTCAGTGCCTCAGTTTCCCCATCAGTGAGAGGAGGAGAACACTTACACTGGGGGATGACAGATCAAGTCTGAAGTGCATTGCAGATGAACAGGTTTGCACATGTGCCAAATGCTGCTGACTATCAGATGTTGCCCTGACTAAGTCAATAACATACATTTTTTTTCTGATGAAACTGGGAGGTATAATTTACCTTTTTTTCAGAATGATGATACCTAGAACCATGCTCGCTATTAGAGAACCCTGGAGAGGTGGGGGGGAGAGAAAAGCAAAACAAGGTCAGTGTGTCAGGCACCCGCCCAGAAATAGGAACACATTCAACAAGAAATCCTGTGTGCTCTGAACAGTTAAGTACAGTTCACTAATAGAAATAACAGCTTCAAGATAAGGACGGAGAGAGACCAAAATCAGAGAAGGACTGATTCTCATTGGACACAGAGAAGAGAAGTAATAGGACTTGCGGGCGCAGCAGGGAAATTTAGGTTTTCTCCTTATTGTATTTACGCTAAAACAGATACAAAGGCAGTTCAGGAAGAGAACAAACTAAAAGAGTTTCTGGCATCAACATTGTGGGGAACAAGCATAGACCGTCTATCTACCTGGGGATGGCTCAGGAATGATAATGTTCAGGTGAGAGAACTACGAGGTTATCTAGCTCAGCGCAGGACTGGTTCCTAGACTGTATCCTCTTTTTATTTTATTTTTTAAACAGTCTAGATTTAAGATGTGTCAAGCCATTGGCCATCCACCGCTTCTCATGGAAGGTTATTCCACAGCTTAGTAAGCGATACCCGATACTCAAGCATTTGATACATTTCCTTTTTGCTTTAATGTAAGTTTACCTTGCCACTTGTTTTGCAGACATTAAAATTTGTGAAACTAACATGGACGGGGCAGCATTTTCTAAACCGTGAGGTGCACCCACTAGGGGGGCATGAAGGACTAGCAGCGTGAGCACACACATGCGTGCTGTGTAAGCCTTAATACGGCATGGTGCTGCAGAAGGGAGGAGGTGAGAAGGGTTTAGTTTTCTTGAGGTGGGGCTCAGCTTTCAGGTGACATCTTCTTACCCAAAAGATCCTGTTTGTACATTTCATGGCTCATTGGGTTAGTACATCTCCCCATGCTAGTAGTTTTATTATGTCAAAGTGAAGCTCTCCTCCTCAACCAGGCCTGGAGGGAGACTGAACAGACAGGTTCCGCTCCCCTGGGACATTGTGCATGCCCACACTGAGAGAAAGGCTGGCAGAGGTACTCACTGATCTGAAGATCATGTGGAGTGGCATGGCTATGTTTAGATTCAGGGCGTAGTTATTCACTACGCTGACTGTGAAGAACATGGCCACCATGATCAGGTAGTATCTGAAAGGGAAACACAAGGGGCTGGTCAGCAAAGCAAGTTGACGACCGGGAAGTTCCTTCTAGATGTTCTCTCATGCAATGCTCAGGCAGCACTAATCTGTGAGCCCCAGAGACTCAAGTTCTCTGCTCATCCTCCGAGCAGGAAAAGCCCAAGCGGTACAAGTCTCCCTCTCTCACGCGCAACAGTGCTCCCACATCTGCTCCAGGGTGGGTGGGGAATTCAATCTCCATCATCTCCGTAAGTAGACTGTTGGTGCCAGCAACGGGACCAACTGTGAACAGGCTGGTATTTAGCGATACACTCGGCACCAGTCTGAAACCAAGTTGTTTCACACAGGCCATCAAGTCGCAGGGATCAGAGGTGGAAAAACCCATCAGGTTTTCTAGGCCACACTGGTGCCAATGCAGGATTGTCCCCCACAGAATAAGTGGGGGTAAAAGAAGAATTTTTGCAAGACTTCTTTCCCCACAGATTTCCAGTGGGCCCCACTCATTACCAAACGCAAGAGAGATCCAGTCCCCTAAAAGACACGCTTGCTTACTCAACAGCTACTAACATGTTCCTTAGGAGAGAAGACTCTGAAAGCAGTTTCCTATTAATAGTCCTGGATAAATGAGTTCATATTTTACCAGGCATGACAAGTTCTGAATGAGGCGTTGCTAACTCTGGAAAACGAATGGGGTTTAGACAGGAGAAAAGGATAAGCTGTTTTATTAAACATGAAGAGATAACAGATATCTAGTCAATTCAAGCCCAGCCAAAGCATTTAAGTCTACTGTACCTTATTGGGATGGCTGGCCGCTTCCTTCCAAAGTTGGCTTCAAAGATAAAACCTTCCACTGCTATAAATAAGAACTGTGCAAATGTCACTATGTTCCCGCATCCTGGAAACTCTCTGGATTTGTGGGGAAGAGAGAGAAGGAGAAACATGACAACACAGAATATATTGTAACTGAATGCACACAGGAGGAGACCAATAGCTTACACACATTCATAGAGCACTTACCAGTGTTTACCATTCTAACACACCAGACAAGCTTACTTAGCATGGTTCTTACATAGCCCTAATCACTGCAGTATAGGTACCTCCACCGTAAATTCATATACAAACTACTCACAAGGATCACTTCACTCATCACTGGGATGTAGCAACCTCTGGGGAGCAGCTTGGCAGCTGTTTAACAGTGCACAGCAACACCACTCAGCAGGCTTAAGACAGGAAGTGAGGTAGGATATCATTTTCTTCTATACAGGTTTTTTGACTGCCAGCATCCTTGTATATCTGAACACCTTACAGTCATGTTATTCACATTGCTTAATGCAGCTGTCACCTGTGGCTCATTCTCTTATCCTTCCCCCAAGAGGAGAACTGTGCATGTGGTGGAGGCTTTGGGTTTGATAAGGAGAGAGATATTCTTTTTTATGTATCTATCTGTGTTTGCTAGAAAAGGCCGGTCAAAATGGTGCACCTTGCACTTGGAGAGGAAGGAGATAAGGTTTAGGATGGTCTTTAGTTCCTGGGGGAGTTTGTTCCAGTCTCAGACTAGCCCCTGAGAGAGCTCTGTCTCTTGAAGCGCTTTACCCTCATGGGAGAACGTTTCACTGTGCCGGAGGAGCAGAGCTGTTGCCCAGAGTCCTCACTCTGGAGCGTCAGGCGATCTTTCAGATATCCTTGCCCCTGGCCACTGAACACGCTGAGAAGCAGGCCCGAGACCTTTAGATTGCTATCCATTGGAAACTGCAGTGAAAACTAGGAAAGAGAAATGACTAGCCATTTGGAATTCAGCTAGGACACCAGCGTTACTTACCTTGTGTTTGATTTTTGCAAGAAGGGCTTTGATCTTTAACCACCGTAAGAGGGCAGTGTTTCAGTTTTACATTTCATCAGAAAGATTTGGGCTACGGTAGCACCTCTGTGCTAGGCCCTGTATGAACACAGTAAGTCAGTACGTACAGTGGCATAGGTCCATCTGCCACTATGCTGGGGCATTTGCTCAGTACTGACCCAGAGGGGAGAAAGTGCCACCTATTGGATCACTCATTTAAATGAAGCTTATTGAGATGAGCAAGCATACAAGATACAGTGCAGTCAGACGGACACAGGATCGGGCTTCATAGAAATAATGAATTTTTGTACCAGGTGTCCACTCCATCATATTTGTTTCTACTTGGTAGCAGGTTGCCACATCTTACAGTTACTGTTGTCGCCTCTTTCACTCCTCTCAGAGCCAGACTCAATTTTCCTTCCTTGCATTTCAACAGGAAATCTTTTGAAGAAGCGCTTTTTCCACAGCTCAGGGTTTGGATGGTGGAACGGAAGATGTCTCCGTTTTACTGTGTCACATGGTTAACAGAGCTGTTCCTCCCTGCACTTCCAGTGTCTGATTGCCTGTTATGGAACTGCAAAGAGCCTATGTTCTGTCTCTCACTGAGCTAAGGCAGTCTGATTGGGTGAGGTTTCTGTGTATCACTATTGTTTGCTGTGGGGTTTTTATTGTTTATTTGCTGTTCTTCCTGATGTACTGGATAGGGTCTTGGTTTTAGGGTTGGTGTGTCTTGAACATTCATTTCTGAGGGGGGTTATTTTATATCACTATGTTACCTTGATGCTAAAGAAGAGTGGATGGCTCATTTGGGCTCTTGCTTTAAGTTGTCTGGTATGGGTCTTCTAGTATCTTGGGTGGGGAGTAAGCATATGGTTATTTGCTATTTATGGCAGTAACTAGGTGTTTGCTCGAGACCTCCCATTCCAGAAATGATCGAGCCCAAACCTGCTTAGCTTGGGAGATCAGACATGACAACAGCATTAAGTGTTTGGTGCACATGGGATATTTAGTGCTGGAGTAGTGTGCTGGGCCCAGGATATCAGCGAGACAATTACTTCTCACCCACCTTGTTTCAGGAAGTGGTATTTAGGCAATGCAGGAACAACTAGAGCGAAGCCAGTTTTTCTTGTTACAGTGTCGGGTTTCCACAAACTATTGGTAGTGATACACAGAATCCAATCCCTGAGATTCAGGCCCCTGCTGCCCGGTTCTTCTTCTCCCACCAGGGACCCAACCATCTCCCTACCCCTGGTGGTCACTAACTCAGGAGTCTGGATCACCGCCAGTGTAATATTCCTCCAATACTTGCCCCTTCAGTGCTCCCATCCCACCACAAGATCTGGAAGTCTAATGCTCCTGCACTAAATATAAAGTCTTGTTGAAATTGTAGAGCTCTGGGAGCAAATGGAGAAACCATAATTAATCTAAGAATCAAGCAATTACTCACAAGGGTGTGACTGTGTCCTGAGGTGAACCAACTACCGGTTGCATAAATCTACTGTGTGTGTGTGTGTGTGTGTGTACCAGAATAGCCAGGGCCAACATTCAGAGATTCTCCCAAGGAACTTTGATGCTGGGACAGGACAACATGCAGCTATCACAGAGCATTTGCTAGAGTACATGACTGGCTGGAAGCTGAGATGCAAGAGCAGCCCACTATGCTGTGCCCCTCCCCGCCCAATTGCATGGATGCGGCATGCTGACTGTTGCTAGTTTATAGTCATAGGGGACAACTGAAAGTTGAGTTGACACTTCCCCTTTTCTGACAGTCTCTGAAAACCACCGACCCCTCTGATGCAACAGAGAAACCAGTGCAAAGGACTCTTGAACATATCTGAGCGCTGGCTGTGATGAGCTAAAACTCTGGTGTTTCAGACTGGAGAGGACCCATTTTTCACTGATTTGCTGTCCAGTTGTGTTTAAGTTGCAAACTCAATTAACAGGAATGTGTAGACAAATATGTTGTTAGCCATTTGTAGGTCTCTATCTGGCCTTTACATTTGGTTCACATCCCAGGATTGGTGTGGGGTGATTTGAGAGGGGCTGGGAAAGAGGAATTACAAGCCTGGTGGGATGCCAGAGTGGTCTCTGACTCGACTAGGATTTGGTCATTCATCTAGTCCATTCCCCTTTGCTCTCTCTTGAGCCACAGGAACTCTGCCTCATTGCTCCACAAGTAAAAGTAAGAAGTTAGGGACAAGCCCGTTTCTAAATTGTGTTGACATAAAGCTATTTGCAAATTTTACAAGACAAATACAAATGAAAAACAGACTAACCAGCCACACACCCATATAACAGTATCCTGACACCTTGGCAGGTTTACAGAAAATGGCTAAGAGCCTAGTTATATCAATTAATTTTTGACAGCTATTTTAACTCTACCCAACTAGGCAATTCTCTTTCTTTAGGACAATAATCCTCCAATAAATTTAAATTACATACAAATTGTAAGGCACCAGAAGGCTGGGTGGTTCTGGGTCTCTCATTTTGCTATTACATTAAGATCACAACCCTTTTTTGTTTCTCTTCTCTTCCTGCCTTCTAGGAGACTGAATTTTCACTTCTGGGCAGTCTGGTACAAAATCCAGAATGCAGGATTTTTCCGTAGCATGGGCTAGAACAATGGCTCTCAACCTTTCCAGTCTACAATACCTCTTACAGGAGTCTGATTTGTCTTGTGTACCCCCTAGTTTCACATCACTTAAAAACTACTTGCTTACAAAATCAGGCATAAAAATACAAAAGCATCACAGTACACTAGTACTGAAAAACTGCTTACTTTTTATTTTTAAAGTTATATGGTAAAAATGAGATCAACTGGAATACAAATATTGTACTTACATTTCAGTGTATAGTATATAGAGAGAGCAGTATAAACAAGTCAGTGTGTGAAATTTTAGTTTCTACTTACTTCACTAGTAATTTTTATGTAGCCTGTTGTAAAACGAGGCAAATATCTAGATGAGTTGATGTACCCCCCCCAGAAGACCTCTGCGCACCCCTGGTTGAGAACCACTGGGCTAGAACTCATTACAGAGAACAGCTTTTCAGCCGCCTCTCTGCCCATTCCCAATCACATAACTGTTAGCGTCTGGGAACAACAGCAACTGTCTGGAAGAGGTAGCAGGAATCTCTTGAAGCAATTTTGCAGCTGGAAACAACTAGAATAGCTAAAACCATGCAACCAGCCAGCTCTCAGCAGACCATTAGAAAGTGGACCACAGTTTGGGAGTCCTGGCATAATGGACTTGCTCATTCAGTTCATCTCATCCAAGTGGCTGTTCCAATGTATTTCTATCTGTCGTCATGAAGGGACTGGCTACAGTGTCGTGCGCTCTCTCTCTCTCTCTCGCATTATGTATGTGTATATAGAGTACATCACCTGTCAGGCCTCCTTCATACATCATAAAGGAGAAGAGTCCATGTGCCCAATTCAAAAAGGGAAAAGTCCTTTTTGCTGGTCACCTTTAAAGAAGTCTGCAGCACGTTGACATCTTATATTTAGTGAGGATGATTTACCTGCAGTGTTCTCAGGTGAAGTTTCAAAACATGGAACTCAACTCTGGTTTGCTAAGTGGATTCATATGGATCTCTTTCTGATACCAAGCGTGATGCTTTGCTACCAGTATCCTCTTCTTTTTAGGTTATCATCTCAAGCTCTGATCCTGCAACCAGATCTATACAACTCATGCCTCTATACAGAGCCTCATTGACTTGGGGCCTTAATTGCTTGAGCAGGGGCTAAGAGGCTTGAAAACCAATCTGTTAGGTTTGTATAGCTTGAAAGCTTGTGTCTCTCACCAACAGAGTTGGCCCAATAAGAGATTGCAGCGTTGACTCTGAAATTTTCTGGATTTCAACTGCTTGCTTTTTTGATAACCACAAAATCCTCTCTGAGGTTTTCATCCTTTTAAATGGGAAAATCTGAGCTCAGCCTCAACTCTAGCTTAATAAAACACTGCCATATGCCAATAATACTGTATAGCACTTTGCATTTTCAAATACTGTAGGGACATTAAATATAGATTATGTAGGTAAACACTGGCATGTTACTGATGGGGAAACTGAGACACAGAAAGGGGCTGTGACTTGCACAGGAGGCATTACAGTGTTGCCAGCTCTCATGATTTGATCATGAGTCCCGTGATATTTTTAGGGCCCGAGCTCCTTGAGTCATATGAATATATTAAAATCTCTGCTTTCATTTGAAACCCCCTCCCCCCCCCCCAAAAACCCCTAAGTTTGCAGAGAAAAACTTGAAAACATGACTCAAGTGCACCCTAAAGGCTCAAAAATGAGAAGGCAAATAAAAACATTAAAAAATAGTATTTCTGAGGAAAAAAAAACAAAGACACAAGTGGTTAAGTCAACCATGATGTTCGGTGGTTGATGGTTTGATTTTTGAAAACCTGGGGTTGGCCATGCTGCCATGTACAGGGATGTAAACCAGGATAAGCTGGCTCTTGACACGGACACACTGGTGGCCTTGGTCACATCACATGCCTGGCCTGATTTTTCTGACGTTCTAAGCACTCACACTTGCCACTGACTTCAGCGGGCGGTTAGTGCTACGGCTGCCTTCAGGGCTGACCCACTGGAGTCTGAACTGGGAACCTTCAAAGCTAAAAGCATTGACTGCTACAACTAGAGGTAAACAGCCAACGCTCCTGAGCTAGGGACTGTAACAATTCATATCCTCTGCAGACCCGCACAGAGGGAGGGAGACCTGATACACACTCACCAGTGGGTTATATGAGCACCTCCAGGGAGGAAAAGAGACAGGTCATTAATTTCTTTGAGCCTCACTTTTCTCATCCACAATATGGGAGTCATGTCACAAACCTACCGCACAGGGGGCTTCCGCCCTCTGCTAATAGAGGATTTTCCTTCACTCACAAGGAACAGTCTCTCCACATATTGCCATCATACGATAATGCTCCCATTTGCAGACCAGGCTCCGGTACCCACCATACGCTCTCCCCTTTCTTCTAACACAAGGGAGACCCCTCATGTCCCATTACACAGCTGTCTCCATCCCCATCCCATGCATGCCCAGGGCTTCCTCTCCCTATTATTTAGAAAACTATTTGCAGCTGTGTATGAGTCATTCTGCAGGAGTGTTGGGAAAAGAAAACAGACACCCCAACACATTTTAAGTTGCTGCTCCTGTTAAAATCTTATGCCCTATCGCTTCAGGTGCATTGCCACAGATGACAGCCCCCTTCTCTTTAATGCAGGCATGCATCCCAGGGGGAACATAGGCTCCAACAGGTGATGCACCCTCTTAAATTGCAGCATGGCCAGAAATTGGGGTCCACCCTGGGCTCCAAGCTTGGTTGTTTAGAGGGCCCAGTCACAAGACTAGGGCACTAGGTAGCCATCTAGCTCCACATTGGGGTGGACTCTGGGATACAGGGCAGCCCCCCTGAATTCAGCATTAGATCTGCCAGATAAGGGATTACAATACTGAATGACACTGGGCTAAGAACCAATCCCCAAGGAACACCACCAGAAACACCTTACTCAATGGCCCCATACACAGGATAGATAGCACGATGCTGAGCTATGGACTGAAATCTGAGGTGGGTCAAAGCACATGGTCGTAACAGTGGGGTGCAGGGTGGCCCCAGAAGCTCTGGGGTGAATCAGAGCCCACAGCTAAAGCTCTGGGCTGCCAGACGCCCATGGCTGGGAAGAGCACCAGGTGACAATACCCACACAAGGTGCAGACTCATCAAAAACTGCTTAGCCCCCCCCCTACCCCCTAGCTTCACAAGTGCCCCCAGCCTGGGCCTTAACCTAGTGATCCCAGCATGGCACTCTCCACCCCAGCAGGCTGTGCACAGACCAGACCCCGCAATCCTAGAGTGCTAACAACTCTCTGGGCCAGATGCCCCCAAGCCTAGGGGACAGCACAAGAACCCTGCCCCCGAAGATGCTACCACTCACCCGGTTGGGAGCCCCCAGGCCAGGGACACTGCCCCTCACCCAGGCAGTGACAATACACCTGGCCAAGCAACACCAGCTCAGAAGCCCTGCCCGCCCCCCGCCCAGTAGCCACATCAGGAGCCATGCCCCCCTCCAAACCCAACCCAGCCCAGGAGCCACATCAGGAGACCTGCCCTCCCCCAACCCAGCCCAGCAGCCACATCAAAAGCCCAGCCCCCACCCCCACAAACCCAACCCAGCAGCCCTGCCCCCCCCCTCAAGCCCAGGAGCCCTATCAGGAGACCTTCCCCCTTCCCCCAACCCAGGAGCCCTATCAGAAGACCTGCCCCCCCCCCGCACAAACCCAACCCAGCAGCCCTGCCCCCCACCCCCAGCCCAGGAGCCCTATGAGGAGACCCCCCAACCCAATCCAGCAGCCCTGCCCCCCCATCCTCAAGAGCTCTATCAGGAGACCTGCCCCCCCCCCCCAATCCAGAAGCCCCATCAGGAGACCTGCCCCCCCAACCCAACCCAGCAGCCCTGCCCCCCCACCCCCAATCCAGAAGCCCCATCAGGAGACCTGCCTCCCCCCCCCCCAGCCCAGCAGCCCTGCCCCCCCCCACCCGCAATCCAGAAGCCCCATCAGGAGACCTGCCCCCCCAACCCAACCGCCCTCCCCCCCCCCATCCTCAAGAGCCCTATCAGGAGACCTGCCCCCACACCCCCAGCCCAGCGCCCTCCCCCCAACCCAGGAGCCCTATCAGGAGACCTGCCCCCCCCCCCCCCAACCCAACCGCCCTGCCCCCCAAGCCCAGGAGCCCTACCAAGAAACCTGCCTCCCCCCCACAAACCCAACCCAACCCAGCAGCCCTGCCCCCCGCCCCCAGCCCAGGAGCCCTATCAAGAGCCCTGCCTCCCCCCCACACAAACCCAACCCAGCCGCCCTGCCCCCCCCCAGCCCAGGAGCCCTATCAGGAGACCCGCCCCCCCCGATCCCACCCCACCTGGCCAGCAGCTCCAGGAAAACCACGTTGCTGCAGCAGCCGCTGAAGACCAGCCCGACGGCCAAGGCGCGGCGCATGGTACCGGCTGGGGGCCCCGCTCCCACGGCCGCGCTGAGCCTCCGGCCGGCCCCGGCGCCATCCCGCCCTGCGGTAGTTCCTCCCCCGCCCGCCTGCCGTGCGTCCCGACGGCCGCCCCGCCCGCGGGGAACTACAGCTCCCAGCACCCCCGCGCCCGGCTCCCCAGGCGCCGGCGACTTTCCCGCGCGGCTCCGGGCTCCCGGGGGCTGATGGGAGTTGTAGTTCCTCGGCTGCCCGCGCTCCCCTGGCCCTGAGCTCGCCCGTGGGGACGACCCCTGAGCTCGCCCGTGGGGACGAGCTGTTGTAGCAACTGGAGAGGGGGCGGAGGAGGAGGAGGAGGAGGAGGAGGAGGGAGGCAGCCAGCCCCTGGCAGGCAGAGCAGCTCCCCACAAGGAGTGGGAAGGATTTCAGGCCCACAGGTAAAAGCTCACCGGGAGCGAGCCCCTTCTGGGCGGCAAGCTCGCGGGGTGCGTGCCCGCCCCTGGCCTGGAGCGGGAGGGGGGCTCGGGCAGAATTCCTGCTCCCCTCCCGAGTTTTGCTCGATTGCTGGCTAAGGCTAGGCTGATCAGTGAGCGGATGAGCATTAATGAGCGCGAAAAGCTGGCGAAATGCCGACGGCGCGCTTGGTGCTGTACGAGGCACCGCTCTGGCCTGAAGAGCTTACTGCCTGAACAGGCACAGCCTTCCCCAGTTCCTACCCCCGCTTCCTGGGCCTGACCTTGGTGGGCCTTATTGGGAACGAACACCCTCCTACCCTACACCTTCCACCGAAGGCTTCAGGAGAGGCACCTTCTTCCTCTGCTTCTCGCCAGCGAGCAGAAGGTCGCTGTCCTTTTATCTGAGAATGGCCCGAAAGGACAGACCCCAATGGAACAGCCAGTAAAGCCAAAGGCCTTACAGTACGGAGGGGAAACCAAACTGAATCAAAGATCATCAAAATATAAAATCTTACCTAGTCTAAGGTCTGGGTAATGGTCCCTCTAGGGGCCTGATCTCAAGGCTACTGAATTCCTAGGAAAGTCTCCCATTGACTGCAGTGGGCTTTAGATCGGGCAGTGGATGGAGTAACATTTGTTGTTACTTTAGAATGAGCAAGAACAAAATTCTTACATTTTCAGAGCAGCCGTGAGCTTGTTCTAGCCCCGTTTCCTGAGAGTGAAGCAAACTCTTTGTCCTTTAACAAGCAAACTAAGATGTCATGTTCAGACCACTGTGTTACTACTCTGCCTTAGCAAGAGTCAGAGCTTTACTGCTGCTGAGTTATGTGTCTGCTCCCTGCCACACCAGCCCGTCTGCTTCATCAGCACACTCTTCGACTCTGCCAGTCTAAACCTTGCCTTGCAGGTACCAATCAGGAAACCCCAGAGACGTCTCCCTGCAGTCTCCAGTCCCTCTCATAGGACACTCTCAGAAGTCACCAAGTTCGCTGTCTCCAAAGAGACAGAGCTGTTAGGTTAGCTGAAGACTTACATATCACTTTAATACACAGCACTGAGATGGTTTTGTAGTAAAATCAAGAATAGGTTTATTAATGAAGAACTGAGATTCACATGATACTAAGCAAGAGAAAAAGACAGGTCTGGTTACAAGTAAAACATGCTTTCCAGTGACTAAAACTTAATCTTAGCAAATTACAATATTTGCTTAAGTAGTTTTCTTTCTTACATCAAGTTACCAGCATCCCCAGCCCTCCAGACTAGGGGATCCTGCTTTCACAGGCTTACAGGGTGGTGCTGTTCCCTGTGTTCCCTACGTGGCTTTTTTGCTTCTGCTTATATTTCCCTCATTGTTTTGTCTCCAGAGCCAGGATGACCTTCTGCCGTCCTTCCCAGTCTGTGGACTTCCCATCCTCCTCCTGATTCCTATGTAAATAGGGTTTCCATTGGTTTGATTACATAGTGCTTAATTTAAACTGGAGACAGGTAGATAGCTATCTTCCATCCTGTCTGGGAGAAAGCCTGTTTCTCCCTTTGTTTGGGCATAGGCTTTCAATCATAATATCCGTGAGTGTCCATAATTGCTCATATAGCGTTAATACATACATGATATTAATCACTGGTGTGTCATGAAAGACCTCACTTGATACACTCTTATAGTACAGTGATGTTGTATACAATCAGTTGATTCAATTGCTTATTCTTTGAGGTTCAGAAGCCATGTTCTAACCCTGGGGTATCTGGACCCTGATGGTCGCACAAACCTCTTACTGATTTCCAGCGGGGCCCCAGTGTAATTCAATGAAAGCTTTTGCCGTTGACTTTAATGGGAAGAGGATCAGACATTAAAGGACTGGAGAATTTTGGCCCAGCAAGAAGTATTAGGCTGTAGAATAATCTCCCTAGAGAAGCAGTGGGAGTACTACTGCTTGACACACCTTTAAAACTAGATGGGACAAAGCGCTGGCAACCTGTACAGCGCGTTGCTTGGGAGAAGATAGAAAAGACTTTACATCATCTTGTCCATTCCTATGAGTCCATCAAATCATAAGCAACAAAAGATCTTGTTTTCATCCTTAGTCATTAAAACCCCCAACACAAAACAACTGATATATATTGAGATAATTATCCCTATCTAGAAGGTTTCCAGAGTTTTTTACGAGGTGGGCACCAACAGGAATTTTAGTAACATGGGTTTGGGAGCTTGATTTAAGTGCCAATCATTAACGTTCAAACTTCCATGCTCTAACTCTCCCCGAAAAACCTGGTTCTCCAGCCAGACCATACTTCCCATTATGTACCATGGACATACAAAGGCTGAACTGAACCTGGGTCTGCCATATCCCAGCTGAGTTCCCTAACCAGGGGTCTAAAGTTTGTAAGCAAGGCTTCTATCACCATCCTCTCCCATGCCTGCTTTGTGAATCTAGTCCTCCTTTGCATTTCTCAAAATGCCCAAAATGAAAATGAAAAATGTCAAGTTTTGTTTTGACCTGACTCGAAGTTTTTTTTACTTTTTCATTTAACAAAATTTTTGAAAAATCTCGTTTTTGGTTCAGACCAAAACGAAATATTTTTCCCTCCCAGAATTGCAGCAAGCCGAAAACTCCATTCCTTGCCCAGCTTTAATCATGGGAGATGTAGTCCAGTCCGTAGAAGAGAATGGGGGCATGAGGTAGCCGAATTACCGCTCCCAAGAAGCTCTGCAGAGATATGTCCAAATCAGAATGTTGAGTTTTAAACCTTTTTTGTTTTTGTTTTTGTCACAATTTTCTTTGGAGAAAAATAACCTGTTTTCCAACCACCTCAAGTGAAAAGCGATTGAGTGGCGATTGAGTGGCCCAGTGAGTAAAGGTAACAGGGACTAACCTGTGGACTCAGGAACTAACACCCTGTCACTCAAATCCCCACCATTTCAGATCAATTGGGTGCTCAGGCAGTAGCCAGAGGAGGCCAATTAACTGCGTAAAGATTCAGCTGAGGGGCTAATTGGTGGAAGTATCCCCAGCAACTGGGACTAGATGAGCAAACAAGAAGGAAGTGTTTGGAGGAGAGCTGGGAGCCTGAAGGAAGGCAGAACAGGCTGCTGCTATTGTACCTGTCCCCAGAAGCAAGTGGGGAAGCTGGCTACTGGCTGTAAATATAATAAAGTGTGGTGGTAGTGAAGAAGACCTGAAATGATTGTGACCTGGATTGTGGCCTGAAAGGACCCTCAGTGGACCACCCCATGACAGTAGGGCACTTGACTGGGACATGAGAAGCCTGTTTTCTTTTCCTGGCACTCACCTGCTGTGTGACACTGAACCAGTCACCTCACCTCTCTGTGCTGCAGTTTTCCCCTGCCTTTCCCTTTCTCTCTCTTGTCTATGTAGACTGTAAATTCTTTGGGGGCAGGGACTGTCTCGTATTATGTCTGTGGCTACTGAAATGCAGCTAACACTAATTTTCTCCTTGTCTGACTACTTCCAGGGACAAGTTAGCTCTGTTAGCCCCCCAGATGTTCTTGTGATGCCTGTGACAGAAATGGCAATCCCATGCAGTATCTTTGGGGACCCTGGCATTACATTTTGGAATGGTTTATGTATGATTGAGTTCTACTCCATGGGAGTGGCTTACCACAGCTCCTACAGGAACTAAAGACAGTAGGGGGTGGCTACCCCTGAGACTGTAAAGGACTCCAAAGAAGTTCCGGCCCCTGCAGTGGTTGGCATCGACTGGATCAGGCGGGTTTTTCAGAGACTAGGATACAAAGGAAGGGTTTTGCTATAAAAGGATGAGCTTGAACTGTCTCAGTGCCTTCTTTCTGGAGGACAGCAAATGAACAGGACCTTTTGTCCAAGGTGAGCCCCAACCCTTGCTAGGGCTCCATAAGACCGATGGGCGACGCCTGGTATGTTTTGTATGTGTTTAAATGTGTGGGTTGTTTTTTATGTTTTCTCTGTAATGCTTTTGCCTTAAGAATAAATGTGCTTGCTTAGAAAGAGCCGTGTGGATGGCTGTGATGATACTGACTGGTGTGGGATAAGCAGGGAGTGTAAGGCAGGGAGATGTGCAACCTTAAAACTCCTGGTCAGAAAAGTGTGGGACAAAGGTCCCTGCCCAGAGACAGGGGCTGGCTGGATACCTGAGACATGACTGGGAACTCCTGGATTGGACCACGGAGAGATGAATACAGACGCAGTTACCCTGAAATCGTGAAAATGCCTTCAGATGAAATCTCCTCCCAATATACCAGCTGAATTTCTCCTGTTGTCAGCTGTGTTTGATGACTAATAGTTGCCAATTTAATTCCTGCAATACAATTTTTCCTCCCCTTTGGTGCTGGGTGCTTTGCAGGGATCAGACTTTTTTCAGACCCTGAGTCCAGCACCGCTTTGGTTTTCCAGTCGTCTCCAGACACGGAGTAACGGGCTTCTGGGCAGCTCTTTGCATGGACCATTCTAAAACTTGCTGATGGTGGCCGTACTGCATCAGCAATTTCTAGTCTTCCTTGCTGTGCCTTCCCGCTGCTCGGGCAATTCCTCCTCATTGCCTGTAAATTTCACCTGGCCTGGGAGCCACTCAGGAAGTGGTCTCATCTGAGCCACAGGTTACCTGCAAATAGCTTTTACTTGGGCCTCCTCTGACTTTTAATTT